AATCACTTTGTAGCCTTTGGATAAGTTGAGCTTAATATATATAAATCACTTTGTAGCCTTTGGATAAGTTGAGCTTAATCTGAGCCACGGAATGGTGCTTGCACCCGTCAAGCATCTCTATCATGTTCTTTTGGGTAGTTGGCATCTATATCATCTTGAATTCAACACTTATGTAAATATTATGTATTAATGTGGATAACTTTTTGTTTTATAACTGTAATTTTTTTTTTTTAAGTATCTTGAACTTTAATATTCACTTTTTCATAAATGCCCTTGATCTTACAAACTAGCTGCGGCATGCTTGTATGCTACTATCCCTATAGTCGATACGGAGGGTTAAATAACGGCATTGCGCCATCAGGGCGATCTAACCGTCTGAAACCTTCGGTTTTGTTGATCAACATGTATTTTAAAAAAAAATTCAAGAAAATATATATAAATTCTCAAAAATAAGGAATTTGGTTTGAATGATTTTTAAATATTCTTTACATTATGGTAAAGAATAAAATTTGTTTTGGTCATTAATACTCAATTTTATATTTTCTCATATTTTTCATAAAATTTTAAAAATACCCCTATACAGTAATCAATTTGTTAAAATTCATTTTTTTCATTAATTTTCACTTCATTTGAATGTGTTTTGTTTTAATCATTGTTTATATGTTTTTCATATTTTACTAGATTTTTTTTTTTTATCTTTTTTATTTTTTTCAACACTTTTTTGACCGTCCGGTACTCGTCTAGTTAGAATGGTTGAATCGGCCGATTTACCTGTTAGGTCAGTTTCGGTTCGATTTTGGGGACATTGGTTATGCCAAGGAGGCTTTAAGACGAAGGTGGAGCAAAAAACTTGAATAATGTTGTTCAATTACGATGTCTAATGGCTGTTCCTGTTATAAAAGCCATTGCAATATTTTCTTCAAGCCGTGGTCAATGACACAAAGCTATTGGTGATGAGCATTTTTATTTGCAAAAAAATCTTCCAAATTCACTTGGTGGTCCCATGCTTTACAACTAATATTACAAAAAAAAAAAAGGGACTTTTCTTACCTCCAGGAACTGGAACTGGCTCGACCGATCCTTCAGGAGACCCGGCAGGCGACTCCGAAGGTGCTCCCCCAGGTGCTAAAAAAAAAGGGACAAATAAATAATTTGCACAATTTAGTGGCATAATTATTAGTAGACATTCAATGGACATGAGGGAAATTTATCAAAACTATTTAAGAGATGGACCATTTTAGCATTTAATCTACCACTATTGCTTTAATTTCAAAAAGCCTATCAAAACACACAAGATATGACCAAGATATCTTAGGATTTAAAAAACAAGCCTTTGATAATCACCGTACTATAAGAAAAAACATAGATATGGGCCGCATAAAATGATCCCTATGGTCATAAGTAACGACATGATCTAGCAGTCGTCACCATACGATCAATTCATCGAGAGGTGGAGGGAGCGGACCCATCAAACATGTCATGGATTCATCTGTAGATCCACTATCCCTCCATCATCTTCCAATCCCTTTGATTCGATGGTGTTAATAGACATGGTCGAGTCGTTAACCACAATGGATCAGACTATGTTTTGCTACTTTTAATCACCTGAGTATTTCATATCTGTGCAATATAATTTCTAAAGAACAATGGTATACATATTTTTTAATATCCATTGGCACATGGATTATATTTACCATTATCATGCAATTTCTAGTATGATTTTTACCCATTGATTACTTATCTTAATTTACTCATCGTTTTGCAAAATAGGTATACTCCTTGACCTATTTAAAAAATACTTAAAATGCTTTAGATTTGTAATCCCAATAAGGGTTACATACATAGTTTTCCAAACCTGAAACATTATTCCGCATTTGGAAGCCGATGAGTGGGATAATTTATGGGATAAAAAATATGCTAATGGCCACTTAATGGTGTTAAATTACCCAAATACCCCTGTTTTTTTAAATGACAAACCCAATATGCAGTTTAAGAAAAATGTTTAATATATATATCCACTAAGAAAAATGTTTAGTACATTTAACCACCTAGATAATTTTTTGAGGCTCTATAATCATTTTAATATTTTTATTTTTTCCTGTAAAAAGATTTAGCCACATGATTTTCTAGAAAATAGGTAACGTCACTGAAAATACATTATCTTTAACTGTTGGTATCTATTGATAAGATTAGTTAGTATTTATCAATAACTATTGATATTTATCTTTAACTGAACTTTATATGGGTCTTGTATATTTTTTATCAAATATAAAGAGAGTCCTTTGCATATTAAATATGGGGGTCTTGCATATTATTTATCAAGATTAATATATGGAGAGTGCTCTCCATGTTTTGAAATTCTATCCATCCTAAAGATTCAACCATAAAATTAAGGGTGAGGTTTCCAAACATTGTAATAAGATTTAATTTTGGTGAAATATTTTAGGCAGATCTATTTTTATATTTAATTATAAATTTTAAACTCCAAAAAATGGTTCAAGCATGTCTATAAACACAAAAAAAATCTTAAAAAATGTAGGTCCAGACAATATGTTGGGGGATGTACTATTTTTGGTGAAATATTTTAGGAAGATCTTTTTTTTTATATCTAATTATAAAATTTAAACTCTAAAAATGGTTCAAATCAAACATGTCAGTAAACACAAAATCTTAAAAATTGAAGGTCCAGGCAATATGTTGGGAGATGTAGACTTAAAATATTTTTCTAACTTTTTCCTAAAATTAATTGCTAGTCTTGAATTATGCAGAAATGAATGGACTTACCAAGAAAAATAGATTTGCAAAGATTCAGCCAGCCCTATATTTTCCAGTCCTGGTTTTCTTTTTTTTTTTTGTGTAAAAAAGATTTGCATAAGAAAATATTTCCATTTAAAGAACAATTCAATTGCAAGAGAAATCGAAAATCAAGTTATTTTCTCTAAGTAAAAGAAATCATAAAACGGCAATACAGAGAGTTTTAGACTTGATTGACCTTTACAATTTTAATATTAAAACCAAATGAATCGTTTGCCAATGCAAAAATATATAAATATATATGCAGTTTTCTCCTAGCTTCTTTCTTTTTGCAAAATGGTATTCAGTCGAGCAAGCAAAATTATGAAGCTCCATTTTAAAGCTTAATTCTCTAATATTTTGAATATAATAATAGATTCATAATTAATCCTTCTTTATTTTCAGTTTCCATTGGCAGTAATTGGGGAGAGAAAAAGAGAAGAAGAGACGAATATATTTCTATAATTCCCTTGGATACTTGAGGCTTTCTGGTTAGAGAATGAGAGGGTAGAGAAACTTACAGTTGCACGTGCTGACAGGCGGCGTCTGGACGTTGCAAGCACCGGGGAGCTCCAAGGCTTTGGTCTGGTTAATGGTGATCCCGAGAGAGCCGCCGCCTCCGAGTATCGTGCACAGGCACCGTGGCTGAGTGCTCACAACGTTGGCCAATTGAGAGCAGCAGGTGGGCGCCGGAGTCGAAGAGTTTCCGGAAATGTAATTGAGGCATGGAGAGAGGCTTATTATAGCGGTTGTGCAGCTCGTCTGAGCAAATGCACAGGCCAACAGCCTGCAAACCGTGGCCACCAACAGGACTGCTGTTGCTGCCTTCAAACCCATACCTAATTATTCCTCTTTCTAGAGAGAGAATATACGTGGAGAGAGAAACAGAGCGCCGTGAATTTACGTAGAGAGAGAGGATTCCAGAGAAAGGTGGGCTTTTATAGAGAGAGAGAGGTTGTTGGTGCCTTTACTGGGTTTCCGGGAGCAGTGGAGAGAGAGAGAGAGGGGGTTTATATAGATATGGATTTGCAGAGGGATGAGATGTGGGTATTGTGGATGAACAACTTTAACAACTCTTGCGTTTTTTGCGTCTTAGGTGAACCATTTCATTGTCAACGATTCCTATTCAGGAAAATCACATTTACCACTTCCCCCCACCCTCCCAACTTTAAAATCTTACTTTTTTTTTTTCTTTTTTTTTTTTTTTACAAATTTGATCCAAACCTATACATTTTACTCATCCGTTTTTTTTTTTGTGACTTCATATACAAATTTTATTGATCATGATAATGATTATTATTATTAATTAAAATAATAACAATATATTAATTGTTAAATAATTCATTTTTGAGAAATTTCTTTAATTAAATCAATTAAAAATAATAATAATCCATTAACAATACTAATAAAGTTCTTGATTAATCATTTTTTAAGTTCAAAAGATATTAATGCCATTGTAAAATAGGTCAAAATATTTTAAAAAAATTCATTTTCTTTTCATGCCTAAATTTATAGAATGGGGTCTACGGAAGTAAGATTGGTTTTTAGGCAATAGAAGATAATGGAAAGAAAGTTGACTAATATAAGGGTTTGGCATTTTATAAAATAAAAATATCATATTTGTAAAAAGAACAAAAAAAAAACATAATTGAAAATCTAATGGTCTTAAAATTTTAAACTTTTAAAAAAGATTTTGATGAACCAACAGACTGGGGCTGGAAATTTCGGGGAGACGGGTAGAGGTCGTTTTTCCTAAGAAACAGAATACATGTATGTATGTATTCTAGAGTTTAACATCGGCGGCTGGTCTGATACTTGTGTCTGACCAAACTAACTCCAATTTATATTTAGTTAAATACTCAGCTTAGGTGCAAATATGCTCTCCTCTCTCAGGCTAAAAAACCAGAGGCCATATTTTGTTGGAATATTGGCTCTTATTAGAGATAATGCGGATTTTTTTTATATGTTTAAATAGGACCATCTTGGTATACCAGGATTAATGGGTGAATTTGTTTTCATGCTCAATCAAGGTTCAAGAATATGACGATTTAGAATGGAATCACCGGATCAAGATCGCTAATCAATGGGATCGGTCCACTTCCCTCTAAATATCGAGAATCAGCCAGTCCTACTTAAAAACCGTTAGGTTCTCTTAGAGAACCAGTTCTGTCGGAGAACCGATTAATTGGTCGGACCGATCCGCTTCCCACTACAAACTACCGTTCTCTAAAATAATTGCTAGAGAACTGGCTAATTGGGACTGGTCCACTTCCCACCAAATGTTCAGAACTAGTCAGTTCCTACCACGAACTGCCCCGCTCTGACAGCCGATTCTTTGACAGAACCGCTAGAGAGTCGACTAGAACCGATCCCCCTTTTTATTTTTACATATTTTTGTCTCTTTTTTTTTCTTTAATTGGCCAATGCACTCCCCTAGATTGTCGATCCAGACCACCGATCCTGACTAGGTTTTCAGATGAGCTAATTGAATTACCGATCAGTTTGTGCTCAGCTATTTTAGTGTCGTTCTGATTTTTGTGACACATTTTCTTATATAGATTTAAGAGAAAATGTACAAGAAGATCATTCACATTACGAAATCACAAGTTCCTTTACCAGTGAAATATAGAATCTGGGGGCGTGCTGCTGATCTTAAAATCTCAAAAATATTTTGTTGAACTTTATGACACACCTCAAGTTACATGATTCATATCTTGAGGCTAAAGTAAACATGACTTTGTACCAAGTAGAGATGATTTTTTCTCATAGTATACAAGCAACATGATTCAACATTTTTTCTAACACATGGGCAGACTAAGACCTGAGAAACAAGTCAATATTTTTTTTTAAAAAAAAAAGAAGAAGAAGAAGAAGAGTCTTTTTTTTTTTTGTTGATTTGCCCTCCATAGATTTCTAGAACCTATGTGAACCAATAGCGTGGGAATAAAGTTTACTCCTAAGATAAATTGGGCTTTAAATATTGCAATTGTAGTTGCTTCTTTTTCCAACTTTTTAGTTAAAGATGATGGAAAATAGAAATCTATTTGGGCTGAAATCTCAACAATATTTTTCCATATTTTGTTGAATCTCTTTTCAAGCTCTTTACTCGTTCCTTTGTAATTTCAGAAATTACTCTCAAATAACTATCCTTTTGTTCAAATTTTTAAGGTACTCCATTATGGAGCGTAGGCCATTACATGATAATTGGCCCTTCCCGAAAATCATCCATGCTTGACATTATTCTGGAATCAAAACAAGCCTTACCAGTCCGAATATTTAATGAAAAAAGTCAGCGTAGCGTCACGATTTGATTTTTCAAAGCTGCGACTCAAATCTCACCAAAAAAGATGTTATCGGGAAACCTAGAAATTGACATTTGGATCTGACCAACTATTAGTATAAAAATAAAGAGATTCGAGTTCACTTAGTACATTATTAAAACATTCATCTTTTTAAGTGTTCGCAAATTCACCAGATCTACAATCATCAGAACTTCAACGTTCACATCTTGTAAAGATTCGGTTCATTTTCAGGCCATCATAATGGTTTCCGGTTCCAATACTTCCCATCTTGGAGTGGGCTTGAGATGCTTCTTTACTTTTTACCGTAAAGCCCTAGGCCTTACAATAGCCCCACTCCTAGTCTGAATCCAATCGTTCTCATTTAAGGTGGTTCTTGAATTTCATGCCTTTAACCCCTTCCTGAGACTTGTTCAATACTCAATGAAGAACCTCCAAGTCATACGATACACACCTGGGAAGCAATGGCATCTTTGATTTCATCCATCGTCACCTTTATTTCAAGAAACAAGTCATAATTACATTGCCCACCGTTAATCCTAAGCTCGATAGTTTTTTTTTTTTCTTTTGACCAATGTTGATTAATTAAATTAATGAGAGGAAATTAAAATCAAGAGAGTTAATCTCTCTCTCTCTCTCTGTGAAAATAAAATCACAATTTGCATATTGGGGATAAGATAAATTTATACAATATATTATTATTGAAAGACTCTACAAAATTCAGTCCCGTACCATAGATTTTTAAAACTTGACCATGGTTTGATTGGTTACAGTGTTGACAATTATCGGAAAAAACCAACAGTCAATCAGATTGATACAAGCATTTCTCAGGTGTTTGTTTTCCCCAAATATTTATGAGCTTATATAAATAAGTGGATGAATCGTTGTGAGGACATGGCCTTAGTGAAGAGATTGCAGTGCATTTGTCAATTGTAAGGAATAGAGAAATTAAAGTTTCCAGTCAGTGGCAAATACTTCCTTATAACAGCAGCCATCTTCACTCAAAAAATTTCAACAACTTCATGATACAAGGAATAATAAATTAACTCCTAAAAGTTTATGATACATGTATTACCACAATTGAAGCACAAACTGGGACAAGGTTTTGAGCACTCGAAAATTTCTGAGGTTTGCAAAAGTCACCATATCACATTACTAGGAAGAAATTCTCAACAGCAACTACAGAGAGGAAAACTATTCAACAGTTCTGAGAACCACTAGAGAGAAGAAACTTCTGGTATGACTTGTTATTTATATTTCGCAGCCATAAATACGTGACAAAATGATGCATACGGGCTATTTGTAAGCCTCTCTTCTTCTTTTTTTTTCTTTTTGGAAGTGGGCAATTGAAGCCTCTTCATGCTGAAGATATTTTCTTTGATGGGGATCATCAATCGTCTACACTTTTGTGACGTCAAATTAAAAGATCAGCTAGCTCTCTGGTTGTACGGAAATCATCCCTTTCATGTGTCGAGACAAATCAGTGCGAATCCACCAAATCTATCAGTGCAGCTCCATACAATTCAGTAGTATAAGAAGTATCAAAAATGCAAGAGACACCTGGATTCAGAGAGAGACCAGTTGTCAAGGGTTTAACCAGATTTGTATTTTCAATTAGTAGGAGTTTTACTACAAATTTAAAACAACCACTCTTCAATTTATTATCATACTGCTTCCACAATAAATAGTTCTCCATTGAAAAAAGTACCAGGTGTTCCTAGGAAAATGGAAGTGAAAACAAAAGACATGAACTTCTACAACCCAATCGGGCTAAAGTTGACAGAAAATAGTTTACCACGCCAATTTTGAAATCTCAGGTTAAAGAAACATTTTTATTAACGGAAAATTTATCAAAATATATCTCAACTTTCAACTACTTAACATTATACATTTTTCTCTACTATTCCAAGTCAAAATCATTAATAAGAAATGTATCAAAATATATCTCAACTTTCAACTATTTAACATTATACTATTCCAAGTCAAAATCATGTGTTTTTTTATTGACATTGTGAAATTAAATCAAAGCCTATGGCTAAAATGTTAATTTTTCAATATCTTAGGTGCATTTTGACAAATTTCCCTTGTATAATTAACTCTATTGTCAAAGAATGGAATACCATACCATTTTCCAATCACAATTTAATGGTAAGTTTTTAATATAGTGGCGCAGAATGTAATACTAGAAAAGAGAAATTACATGAAACATGATGCACATCCCTTGGGCTTCAGCTTAATGGTAGACATATCAGTTTAGGAGAGGGAGGTGAAGGGTTCCAACCCTTGAAGTTTGTCCCATATCATCAAAAAAGCTGACCGACCTGACTATTTATTTAATTATTTGTTTGTTGTTGTTGTTATTATTATTACTACTACTACTACTATTATTATTATTATTAATTATTGAGGAGAACATCGCCCATGTGTAGTGCTAGAAAAACCATTTTAACCGCTTCTCGTTACTCCTTCAACTTCCTAAGAACATCGATTCCACAGGCTGCTAACCAACAATTAAATTCAAGGTCAACTCCAAAATAAAAATCCATGCTTTTAGTTCAAATTCCATGTGAGATGAACAGGAAGAATTTCCCACAGGACCATAAAAATCCATGCTTTTAGTTCAAATTCCACGGTGAGATAAACCAGAAGAATTTCCCACGAGACCCTAAAATCACAAGCCACCTTCACCTTAATCATTATTGAAAAAGGACCATAAGCAAGAGAAACTCAAATTTCACCCAAAACATTATGCCATTTAGTAACGAAAAAATATATGAGAACCTAAAAAAATTTCTTCTGATTGTCAAAATGTAATCACAACTGTGGAGTAAGGAATAAAAAGAAGAAGAAATATGCAAACCTTGCAGCACATCAAGAATGAGAACGTGAACGAACAAACTCCTCTAGCCGATCCCAAACCTCAAGAGCTGCCGCCCTGTCCTGGTGCCGCTTATTCTTGCTTATCTGCATTTCAGTTTTAAGTCAAATGGAAAGAGAGAAAAATCAGGAACTTTCAGTGCGAAAATAGCTTCCAGAAATCGACATTGTTGCTGAAATGAAACTACAAGTTTCCCAATACCAACCGAAATGATCTTAACGTTCCATTGCTTTACTGTTTTAGCAGATTCCACACTATCGTCCTCAAAACGCATGTAAAATCCAATTACTGCATCATAGATGAAATTATGTTAAATGCCGAGTGCGGTTTAAATAGGTATTAAACATGTAAACATATTGACAGCAATTGCTCTTCTGATAATAATCTCTACACCAACAGAAATTAAGACTGATAATAAGAATTTTCAACAAAATATTTTCAAAATAAATCAACAATGCAGTGTCTGTAGCAGTTCAAATGATAGTAGTTCACATTCTTTTATAGCAGTTCAAATAATAGTTAACATGGATGCCATGGATATTAGCATAATTATCATTTATACATTTAAATACTTTACGGTAGGGGTCTAAGAAAGGTGGGGACCTTAAACTTTCCCTTAACATGGAAGGAGCTGGGTTGTATTAAGTAGGCAGCCAACGTAAAACTCTGTAAAACTTATCATGAATCCTGAACCTACGTTATTTGCTTTCACTGAGGGTATGGCCCTTCATAGAGCAAAATGGCAGACCAAGATTTGTGTAGCCGACCCCAATTAGTTGGGAAAAGGCTTTGACGACGATGATGAAATACTTTGCATTAGAGAGGCGGTGCAAAAAAAATTTGGGTGATTCGCACGCTTATATACAACATGGAAGGCACAAAAACCAAGTCTCATGTTCCACTAGGACGTTGATCACTACCTGATCCATTGTAGGTTTGCCATATGAACTTGGAATTTACTCTTAAACCTCTTACTTTATGAAGTTAACACTAGGAGCTTCAATGACGTTAAAGAATGTAGAACGATGATAAAATAGCGGATAAGATTATCCAATGCTTGTTTGTAAAGGGCCGAGTACTAGTGCACTAGGGTCAAGGATAGGGGTGGCAATCATGTCAAGTCGACCTGCCGACGCGGCTGGGGTCGACCCGAACCACGTCCGGGTTCACGTTTTGGACCGCGGGATAGGGTCCAAGTCGGGTCCGGGTCTGGCATGGACCCCAAATCGGGTCGAGTCAGGTCGGATCAAGGTCCGAGTCAACTCAACCCAGTATAAAAGTCTATGTACTAAACATATATAAAATGCTTTTTTTTTAAAAAAAAAATTTCTAGACCCGAGTCCAGGACAACTCCAGGTCCGAATGACTTGGATCCAACCCGGGTCCAATTGAAACCTAGTCGGTTCAGGTTCAAGTCCAGGTCAGGGTCGACCCGAACACACCCCGACATGTTGCCACCCAAGTCAAGGACATGCAATAGGAATCAAGGAAAACTATGCTTCGTGATTTGCATGAATTTAAGATAAGGTGATCCCTCTTGGGGCCTGATAAGCTAAACTTTGACGAAAGTACATTGGTAATTCCTGGGCCATCTAGGTCTTAAGGCTTTTTTAATGGGTCTTAGAGTGTCTGAGTTGGCAAATGGTGTTTTCTCTGCCTTTTTCTGATCATTATGAGATGAATGTTACATGTTGAATGTTATCAAATGGGCATGATACAAGACATCGGCCTCTTCAAGGATTTTGATGCTATGAAAGTGGTCTACGAGAGTATCTAGTCGATGATAATGGCATTTCACAACGTCCTTAAAGGAGGAGATGAGAATAAGACTCTTGAAAATTGGAGTGGTTAATGAGGAGTCAACCACAATAGATAGTTTTTATATTTTGACTTGGGCATTCGACATCTCTAATCAGCTAAGTGTTACAAATCTTGTTGTATTAGCTCAAATTACAGGAAATATTGAACTAAAGAACAGGGGAAACAATAAGAAGGGGAAGATTGAATGCTGCATACATTACAAACATGTGACCGACTTAAGTTAAAAAGTTGATGATTATAGTTCGAAAGTTTAAACCATTCATAAGTACTTATTTATTCTCATCATGTGAAAAAGAAGCAACTCTGCACAGTAAATAAATAGGTCTGAACCCTTGATTCAACAGTGCAAATTCTACTAAAAGAAAGATGCAATCTAAGCCATCACCAAACCCAAGAATCCAAAATAACAGGCCCCCATAAAATGGAAGATTAAAAACTAAAACGAGAAAAAAATAAAGATATAGAACCTTACTTTTGTTGAAGATCTCGACATGATCCTTGAATGGCCAATCCTTAAATTGCCACTCTTTTCCGAGAACAAAGACTGCTACAACCCGGTCCCAATCCTCCGCCTTTAGAGCCGATGGCTTATCCCTAACTTCATAGGCAGCAACAACCCTATCTCTACTAAACTTTTTTTGCACAGTTACACACTCTGGTTTTGTCTGCTTCACATCAGTCATGGCCTTAACCTTAACATCAGTTGGTATAAACACCCCATCTTCCAAAAATTCCTTGACATTATAAATAGTAATTAGAGTCTGGAACGCACTTGGAACCAGAATAATCGGCACCCCTTCACCTACTTTGCTCCCTTTCGACGGCCTCAAAACACTGATATATTTCGAATCTCTTGGCCCAAAATCTTCAGAATAGTTTCGATCATCTCCTCTACTCTTCACCAAAACCCCATCCCTTCGGACTTTCTCTTCCTCTCTCTTACTAGAATTTAACAAAATGGTGTGAAAGTCTCTGTGTCTACACTCCAACAGAGTTTCCCTATCCTTCAATGGCCTCTCCATTGTCCTAATCAAATTGATATATCCTGCCCCTGTCCCATCCAAAATCCTAGGTTTCTTCTTGTTTCCTTCTTCTCCAACCAGACCATTGGCACTTGCAGGCTCATCGACAGTAACACTAGGGTCAAAACCGTAATTTTGGGCACCAGGATCATTGCCATAATTTAGTCCAGGAAAACTAGGGTTTAGTGAGATGGGTGCTTCAGCAATGGAATTGAGATTCAGCGATGGGGTGAAATTCGAATTTAGGGTCTTTTCAGGAGCAGACGGATCATAGCCCAGGGGTTGATCAGATACACTTGCAAAACTAGGGTTTGCAAAACCAGGGTTTGGGAAATTAGGGTTTATGGAGACCGGTTCAATTGAGTCGTGAGATGAAATCTTTCCTTGAAGGTAATCAAGAAGGGGTTTCCTATCCGTAAAAGTGACCGGTTGGAGCTTCAACAAACGGGCATTTTGCATGTAATCTGTGTGTTTAAGGTGGGCATTGTTAACGTAGTGAACCAGAGAGTCTAGGGTATAAAGACTACCTTGTTTCGATCGGAAAGAAGTGGGAGAATTGCAGGGAAAAGAGTACTCATCGCCAAAGAAAAATTCATCACCCATTCTGACGATTTTTTGGAGGTCTCCTCGGCTCGTGTAGTCACGAAGAGCAGAGAGAGGATCCATGGCTACAGAGCAAGAAACTTGCAGAGGGCAACTACAGCAGTTAGCGCCTTTTATACGCGAAAAATCAGAATTGGAGATTGAAAATTGGGGTATGCGATGTTCCCGCGAGATCATAGTGTACATATATACTCCCTCGATGAGAATACGCATATTTTTTTATTATGAAATTTTAAGAATTACTAGATTATTATTTTAACATAAAAATTTTAATTTTCAGTTTTATAACAACTAGGAGCTTCTTTTTTTTTAGTGGGATTAGCCTATGGCTTGAAGTTACATCTCTAAATTTTGGGTTCTAAAGATAATCCTATATTGAGTTATACGAGAGGGGGTAAATGGATATTAAGTATACTCTATACTAATATCGTATGATTTTAATTTGGAAAAAGTTTATATTAATCTTAAAATGTAGAACTACAGATGCACCTCAAAAATCCATCGAAAAAGGTTGTTTTAATAATGAAAAACCCTCTAATTGATCATCTCGAAATCGAGATGAATGATTATATAAAAAAAAAAGATTGGAGTCCCAGAAATGGTGTGTTTTACAACACATTATCTAGACTGTCTATTTTCAAGATATTCATATATTTATATATCTACTTGATTTTAATCATTTCTGGAGTTTAAAATTTTATAAATAAATATGTAAATAGATTTTGAGATAATCTTAAGAATATTTTACATCAAAATTATATATTATGATAAAATTTGAAAGTGAACCTTAAATGGATTGTTTAAGGTTGCAACCGTATGAAAACCACACCCTTTAAATTTATGAAAGGAAAAAGTTTATATAAGGTTGCAACCTAAATGTAGAACTATGGATGCACCTCAAAAATCAATCGAAAAGTATTATTTTAATATTAAAAAACCTTGTAATTGAGAATCTTGACATCGAAATGTATGATAATGAAAAAAAAAAAATGATTTTGAGTCTCATAAATAGTACGTCTTACAACACATTATCTAAACCATCCATTTTTTAAATTTCCATATGTTTATAGATCTACTTGATTTTAACTATTTTTTAAGTTTAAAATTTTATAATTAAATGTGAAAATAGTTTTGAGATAATCCTAAAAATATTTTACATCAAAATTTACCGGTGATGATCAAAATTGAAGTTGCGCATTGTTTAAGGTTGCAACCTTATGGAAACCGCACCAGGAATACAAATATCGTTGCAACCTTAATTGGATTGTTTAACGTTCAAAGTAGACTTCAAATATCCTTGTTTATAAGGGGTTTGAAGATTGTAATTTTTCTGAGTTCTATACTAGGAATACAAGTATTTTGTTCGAGAGCACTAATTTAGGGTTTGAACCGGCATGAGAGGGGGGTGGGGGGGGGGGGGAGATTTTTTTGGAATTTATTGTATTTTATATTTGAAAAAATTACATAGATATCCGTTATATTTATTGTTATTATGAAAATATTTTAAAGTTTGTGTTAATATGTTATTACATATATTCATTTTTTCAATTTTAAAGCCAAAATTTCAAAAATTTTGGATGAGTTCGTGGAGAGAGGGCCTACCGTTAATAAGAATTGAGCCTAAGAATTGAGCTACCGTTAATAAGAATTGAGCCGCCTAGGACTTAACGTTACAAAATGTCAAGTGCAAACCAATTAAACTCAGGCTCTTTTCTTGATGGTATGTGGCCCTTGATAGAATGATATGGCATAACAAGATTAATATAGCCAACCTCAAATAATTGGAATAAGGCTCAGATGATAATAATGATGATGACGATAATATTAAAAAGAACGAAGAAAAATTTTAAGTGAATATCCAATATATAAGGAAAATTTTATATAGAGTTGAGGCTCTAAACAATCAAATTAGAGCCTACATCAAAAATTTCACTAGAAGATATTGTTTTGATGCCCAAATATCCTCAAATTGATCATCTCGATATCAAAATACATGGACATGAGAAAAAAATGGATTTCAGGTTTTGAAAATAGTGTATTTTGTAACACATTTTTGGACCATCAATTTTCAAGTTTTCATAGATCTGTCGATCTATGCTATTTTTTAAACTTTAAACTTCATAAATAAAGATGAAAATATACTTTAAGGCTACCACAAAGATTCAAGTGTTGAAACCACATTTCTGGACACTATTTGAACGTAGGCTCTAATTTGATTTTTAGGCTCTATACAAACCGGACCATATATATAATCTTCTTATTTATTTTTGAACTAATACTTTTTTAGCTTTAGGTAGAAATGAGGTGCAAATGCAACATGTCAGAATATCCTCTTATTGAGGGAATCCAGGTTTTTTTTATAAATACAATATATATTTATTATTCTTTTTAAAATAATGCTATTTTTTTTTTTTTTTTTTTTTTTGACTAGTTAAGCTGTATGAATCGAAATTGAGATATGGCCTTGCTAACACCAACGGCTGACCAATCCAGCCCCAGCACAATTTCCTAAAAAAAAGTATTATTCCTTGCAACATACTGTTATTTTAATAAAACTTAAAGTTTTAATAATGTTGGGACTGCATGAATGCATTTTCCATTTAACAATATATTGCTACTTAGTTTGTCACTATCATTTTTTTAAAATATTTTTAAAATTTTCAACTATCTATTTGTCTTGAAAAATATATTTCTGTGTATGTGTGTGTGTGCACACACATATATAGTACATGTATAAGGCACAGGTTATTGTACATGTATAAGGCACAGGTAAGAGTAGGGACAAGTATCTACCAACTAAATAGGGACCCTGAAATAAGGATAGGATTTAGGGTACAATACCATTAACAAGAGGGCCACTGGGACCATGCTGGGAAGAGTTTCCTATTTCTCTTCCTAAATATAAGGTTGAAGCCTTATCTATTTTCCTATTTTTAGGAGTTGCATTAAAGGCAATTTCTTCATGTTTATCTTTAAGATAGGTTTTTACTTGAAATGGATTAAGAACGTTACAAAAGTTGAATTTTATTTGAGAGATTGTTTTGGGAGATACATGCATCTTATATCTTTGACAGAGTAGCTCCAGCTTTAAAGGAGAAAATTAGTTGTATTTAGCTAGAGAGCAATATGATATACAAATATGTGCATTCGCGACTGGTATAGTTGAGTGATTTACTTACGAACCCTAAAATTTATCCTATAGTAATAATGTTTTTTTTTATTTTTTTCAAAATTATCTCTCGATCCTAGGAGTGAATTTTAATTATTATTTTTTTAAGCTTTTTTCGTCAGTAGAGCAGTGCCCCAAGCTTTAGGGGAAGTGCCCGAGCGGTCCCAGGTCCCCTTCCCTGGGCCAGTCTTTCTTTTTTATTTTTTTGAGAAAAACAGCGGTCCAAGGTCTTCATCCTCGGATCACGTTTTATTTCTTATTTTTTGAGAAAAATAAAAGTCCGAAGATGGTAAGATTACTAATACAGACTATTTTTACTATTATATACTATTTTTAGGATATCTTAGAACCTAAACATCAATGGTATCACTGGGGTAGTTCACAAAAAAAAAAATAGGTGTATTTTTTAATTGGGGTAAATTTAAAAAAAATTGAATGGAGAAAGTTTAAGACATAAATGCATAACTTTTGATTAATGGTAAAATAAAATCTTAAATTACAATATAACCTAACATATTCATACAAAATTAGCATACTTGAAAGGGGTATCATTGGGACCAAAAGCAAATTTTACACACATGTGGCACCCTTTCTGAACCCCCTCTTGGTAATATCTCCTCTGAGTGACTATAAATGTGAGGAAAGACCAATTGGAGTAGCAAGGTTTTTTTTGAGGAAACACCAATAGAAATTCCAAGGTTTGCTTCTTCAACATCCTCTCTCTGCACTTCTTCCCTCCTCTCTATTTAGAATCTCTTGGATTATTTTCTTATGTGGTCTCTCTCTTTTATTATTTCTTAAGTTATTATTGATTGTTGCTTGCTTTCTTTTTCTAGTGTAGCATTGCATGTTTAAACTTTTATTTTATTTTTATTTTTCTTTATGGATGATTTTTCATGTTTCATTTTCTTGTGCTTGAATTGCATGTTTAAGTTTTTATTTTTCTTTATGGATGATTTTGCATGTTTCGTTTGTTTATCTTGAATTTAGAAACTGGTTAGTGCAAATAAAGATACTGCTGGCTTGACTCAAATGGAAATGGAACTTGTCATATTTATTTAAGGAAATGAGTTTTTTCATGATCCAGTGAGCCTAGGGTTATTAATTATCCAGTAGGACTTTTATTTTTTCATGCTCTTACTTCTTTAGTTTGATAGATAAGAATTTAAGGAAGACTTGCTATACAAGTGCTCATCACCTTTAGTAAATTTTTTCATTTCCTTGTCAAGTATTTATATCTAAAATAATCTAGGAAAATGCATAATTTATTAAATTATTTTTGGGTTGATCATCATTATCATCCGAGTTTTATCCCAACCATTTGTGGTCGGCTACAACAATCTCCTTCCGCCATATCAAATTGGTGTAGGATTCATGACATAGATGCATCAAAAGTTCTATCTTGGCTATCAAACTAACACAACCATCCTCCTTTCTCCGGGCTTGGGACCTACATGGTTAAGTGGAAATAAAAAATGATCATTAATTTTCCTTAAGCATTTAAATATGTCATTATTGCCATTTGCATGGAAGAGAGATGATAATCAGTAAAAAAAAATAGTCATGTAATTGATGGCACTATTTGCATACTTGATTTGCAACTATCCATTCATCCAAGCTTATTCGAAACCATCTATTTATCCAGGCTTTTATCACATTGAAATCGTCCCTTGTATCCTTTAAAAATATAGTAAGGTTGTAGTTTGTAACGCCATAATTTTGTGACATACTAAATTTGAAGCTCTTTGGCTTATGCCATATGAACTCACATTTCTATGACATCTTCAAACTCAAGTATTTATAGCTTTAACTAACATATTTTTTGGTTAGCTTGAAGCATCTAAATTGAAAATTATTGTAATGCGAGTCGTGTCATTCCCTGAACCTACTTTCTGTAGTATGTGAGATCTTTTTTTCTTTTTCGGTGGTTCAGCAGAAAGAGGTCTCTTACCCATGATAGGGATGCAAGTCATTCCACCCTGACAATCTAGCCTTGAGCCTATTTCCACGTGAGATCTATTTATTTAATAGGAATGATCAGGTGGATTTGACTCCTCTTGAGATATTATCAATGGAAGGAGATCCATTGTGGGATTGCAAAATTGGGATCTAACGATTACATTAAGTAATCTCAATCAGAACTATTCTTGAATATCTAGACGAGTCCACATAATCTTAAAAGCTAAGGAAACCCATTTGCTAATAGGATCCAACGATTACATTAAGTAGTCTCAATCACATTTCAAAAATGGTTTGGGTTAGTATATGGGTTGATAATATTATTTTGGTTAATAAATTTTGAGAAATTTGTCTGATCACCCCTGAGAGATGAACAATTTAATATTTTATCCTTATTTTTTATTTAATTTCCAAAGACGCATACAAAATAACATGGTTTTGAGTTGGAATGGTTGTAAATGAGCAGAAAGTTAAATACATTATCTCTAATACGTAATTTCATAAATTTCCCATAAATTTAAATAAACCAATTTTCAAACAATAACTTTCTAGACCAATTCAATCTCATAGCACACCGTCATTTTTACATATTTATATATCTCCCGGAGAAATTCTAATATAGGAGTAGGAATCTTGCATATTTTTATATCTCCCCGAGTATCAAAACCCTTTCTTAGTATGAATCCCTCTTGGATCGAGTTTTAACGAATCATTGAACAACTCGTGAGACACTTTAGAAAAATGGGGACTGGGAAACAAGAAAATTCCCCTATCTTATGATGGATAGCTGAACTTGTATGATGGATTTGATAGCACAATTTCACCAATCATCTCGCTTTATGTACATCTTTGAATTTTGTACTCTTTGACAAATAAAGAATTCATGAATTGTGGGAAAAATTAGCATTTTGCGTCCCAATTGGTGATTCATGAGTTGAAATTGCTTATTCATTAAAAGCCTCATTGGTGTTGAGATTCAATCAGCCCTTTGATGGTTTCTGCAATCAAGCCAAAATCTGAACTAAGAATTCGTTTGCAGCAACTATCATCGAATCTCACGTCATTTAATATGTTTTTAACTGAAAAAAAACTAAGAAAATCGGATTACATACTCTGTTAACTGTTTTAATTCCTCCTTGCTAAAGCCCATGTACCAGTGTATGATTGATTCATTTTGTGAAAACCCTAAAGCTCCAGTTATTAAATCTTAGATTTCTTTGTGAACCACACATTGAGGCATCGAGCCTAGATCATCCAATCCATATTTAGCAAGTTAAAGGTTGAATTATGATCACACAGTAACAGCATATAACATGATTTTTCACATTCTCCTCAGCCACCAGGAGCATGAAGCATATGCTTAAAGTATAAAACTAGCATTCTATTGGTGGTTTTGCAGATCTTATATAGGGTGAGGAACTGTTTAAAATTTGGCTAAAAAAAATTTCTCTTCTTGTTAGACCAACAAACATCCAACTCTTCTACTTTGGTGTTTTTTTAGGAATAACTTCATGTTTCTTGTAAAGGACATGCACCAATCCTTTATCTTACATCCGACGCATGCATGCTTTTTTACGTACATTAAATAAAGATGATTGGGTTTGGAACTCTTGACATCATGTTGTAGCTATTCCTACCTTGACCACTATATCAAGGGTGACATCCCAATGTGTGCACTTATTGACCAGCACCTCTAGGGTAGAAGCTAGGTTGGAGCTCCGATTTCCTAAGAATGTTGTCCATCAATCTTGTATATTGAGAAGGTAATCGGATTGTAGATGGACTAGCAAAACATGGGCTAGATCTTCGGAGGCCATAGTCTGACGTTCTAGGCCTGGTGTCTTTCTAACATTCATTTAATTCTGGATATAGTGAATATCCCCTCTCAGAGGTCATCTTGTTGTATTAATGTAATGTTATTTATATTAGTAATAAAAATGGGTACGTGACCCTTTTTCTTGATTTACCCCCAAAAAAAAAAAAAAAAAAAAAAACACGTAAAAGTAGACCAATAACCTAAGCTTATTATCCTCGTCATGGATCTATTTCTCCTTCTGACCCTAGGGCACAAATGCTTCTCCAAGCCCTTGAAAGCTTGAAATGGTTATGAACATGTGCAAGTTATAGTTATTGATCCAGTTTCCTTTCAAATTTTAGCCACATATGTAATCATGAAAACATGCATCCAATGAACTTTTTGTGTTTTTTTTTGGAATTACTTCTTGTTTCTTGTAAAGGACATGCACCAATCCTTTATTCTACCTCCAATGCATACACTTTTTTTTTTTTTTTTCTAAATATGGTTGGGATTGGAACTTTTGACATCATGTTATTTAATGTCTACCTTGACCACTATGTCAAGGGCCACATCCCAATGCATGCACTTATTGACCAACAGCTCTAGAGTAGATGCTATGTTTGCTGATGGTGGACCTCTTATTTTCAACGGATGTTGTCCAACAATCTTGTATACAAGGAAGGTAATCGGATTGCCGATGGACTAGGAAAACATGGGCTCGATCTTCGGAGGCTATAGTCTGACATGTTAGGGCTCATGTCTTTCTAACATTTATTTAATTTCGGATATAGCGAATATCCCCTCACAGAGATCATCTTGTTGTATTTAATGTAACATTATTATTGTTATTAGTTATGAGAAGGGGTAGGTGACCCTTTCCCATCTGATTTAAACCCAAAAAAAAAAAAAACCGTAAAAGTACACCAATAACCTATGCCTATTATTCTCATCATAGATCTATTTCTCCTCCTAAACTCTGCCCTTTGGCACAAATGCTTCTCCAAGCCCCTGAAAAATTCAAATCGTTATGACCATGTGCAAGTTATTGATCCAATTTGCTTTCGAATGTTAGCCAAAAAACATGCATCCAATGTACCGGGACTCTGCTGAGTCCCCTCAAACTCAATCGAGTACCCACAAGTTATATGTACAACTCGGGGCATATAAAAAAAAATAAAAAAATAAAAAATTGTAAAAACTAAAGATATGCTATACATATTTCTCTTACATGTATTTGACAAAGATTGGAGGATTTTTTTTTTGCCATAATCACATTTTTTATTTTTTTGAATTTTTATAAATATCAGTTAAATGGGGTCTTTTTAAATCCAGGTTTTTTATACATTTTTTACCTTGTTTAAACTTCGAAAAAATGCTTCAGGTTTGAATCCAATTTTAATGTATATTTTTTTATTATCTCAATATTAAAAAAAAAAATTAAGACCATTTGTATAGTATGTTAGGCCGAGTGGGCCAAATAAGTCGACTCGACGAGGAGCTGTGTCCGAGAGCACACGGCATGCATCCTTCATACTTTATTGTCTCCTTTCTCTCTCCCTCTCATAACTGCATGTTATTCGACATTTTATGTGGGCTTTGCAGCATGCATTTTACGGTGGTATTGAAAACTCTGTCTCTCTATTGATAATATAATTAGTATTCTTCATACTGATCAGTTGACCCCTCTTCTTCATCACTTTTAAATGCAATTGTGATGTGACTCAGCTTTCACCATGTGCTTGATCGAGGGCCTCCCTGATGACCTCGCCCTCCAATGCCTGGCCCGTGTGCCCTTCTCTCTCTACCCATCCCTGTCCCTTGTTTCCCCCTCCTGGCGTGATGCCATTAGAAGCCCAGACCTCGTCAAGGCCCGAATCAGTGCCAACTCCACCCAGGACCTCCTCTGTGTCAGTGCTTCGGAGCCCGGGAACAACTGGCAGCTCTACGACCCGGCCCGAAACATTTGGATGACCCTTCCCCCTCCCCCACCGGCCATTGTGCAACTCGAATCTTTTGGTACGGCATGCGTCGATGGGAGGCTCTTTGTTCTGGGGGGAATCCATAGAGCCATGGCACTGGGAACTTGGCATAGCGTCACCAACCTAGTCACGGACGAGGTATGGTCCTATGACCCGGCGGCGCGCCGATGGGACCAGTGCGCCTCCATGCTGTCCCCTCGTTGCATGTTTGCATGTTGTGGTTGGGAGGGGAAGATACTGGTTGCCGGGGGCTACACGACCGAGCGGGAGATGATCACGAACGTGGAGGTCTACGACCCCGAGCACGATGCATGGGTGCCGATGCCGAGCATAGAACCAGTACTTTGTCAAGGTCACAAAGGACTGGTTCTTGGCGGCAAGGTGCATGTTCTGCACATGGAGTTGCCTACTGCACAGGTGTGGGAGGGCGAGGAGCGTGGTTGGGAAATTGTGGACCATCATTGGTCGCCATTGCATTCCGTGGTTGTGGGGGACGAATTGTACACTGTGAGCTGCAGGCAAGTGGAGGCATGGGGGGAGCGGGGAAGGGGGCCGCCACGGCGAGTGGGACCGGGGCATCGGATGTTCCATCAGAGGTTTGGAGGCGGGTTGGCCTCTCTAGGGGGGAAGGTGTACGTGTTCGGGGGCACATTGCAATATAAACGTCGGCAATTGTATGATATGCATTGCTTAGATGAGGTGGAGGCCGGGAAGCCGAAATGGTGCTGCCGTGCCGGCATGACGCGCGGCAAGGGCAATGTGTTGGGATTTGCAGTGCTCAGGATCTAAGAACGGCAATGGGAGAAAGAGGGAGGTAGTGCTAGTAAACTGGGTTTGCAGTGGAGCAAGAAGGAGGCAGTTGATGCGGTGCTAGTAATCACTGGGGCTCCTCTTTCTTTGTCTGTGTTTTACTTTGTGTGTGCAGTGAGAGTGATTTTTCTTTTTACTTTCTCTTGTCTGTGTGGTGAGATGATCAAGTGAAGTGATGGGTTCCGAAAGACTATTATGAAATGGATAATTGTTGGGTTATTGACGAGTTAAACAGCTATATCTACTGTTTCATCTCCTCTCTACCATCATCATCATCATCATCATCATTATCATTATCATTATCGTCCCAGCTTTATTCTTATTCTAACCATAACATACTATGTTGCAAATAAATAGAATTTAAACTGCAGCTGAGTCGGGTTTAGTCTTGATTGGTTAGTTGTTAATAATTGCATCACTACATTCCAAATTTGATTTCTGCCTCCGCCTTTCCTTTTCTTTTCTTTCCTTTTTTTTCCAAACCTCTATTTAGTATTTCTGCACTTCCCTCATCTATACCTTATGCTTTGTATTTTCTTGAAGCTTAATTTGGTGGGTATTTCACTGCTTTTGATAAAGCTTGATTTCCCTCTGCCTCCCTAGCCCTGAAACATATATTTTGGAATTCAAACCAAATGTTTTGAAGGCAGTTTAGTACATGGATACACACTTGCTGGCCCAAAACACATTTATAATACATGTATACAATGAGACCATTTATTTTGGTATACCTATCCGGGCTACTTATAACTATGGGATGTGAAATTTTGGTAGCTTGTGTGTCATAAAGTTTGAAAAAAAAAAATTTTGAGCTTTGAGCGTAGTCAATGGAACAATTTTCAATTTCACATCTAATAGTCAAGATTAATTGTGATCTCTTTGGACCAAAGCTGAATGTTCTCTTTGTATACTTTTCCTTGTATAAATTTAATTTGAAATTATAGTTAGAGCATAAATTGCGAAATTATGAATCGTGTATCTCTCTCTCCCACAGCTACATGTTAAAGTTATAATTCTTGTTTATCTTTGGAAACTTTTATTTTTAAGGGAAAATTACTAGAACCTCCTCAATTTCAACTTTACAGGCATGCTCCCTCCAACATTTTTTGTACAATTCTATGAACCACAATACTTTCTTCTTTTTCTTTTTTTTTTTCTTTTTTTTTGTGATTATCACCCCAAGTCAAAAAGGTTCTATTTTTTTTATCAAAATACCTCCATTTGACCCATGTTTACTTCATTTGCTTTTTTTTTTCGCCTGACGGAAAAATAAGTCCAGTCTAGCACAAAAAATATGGCGGACCAAGTCTAATCTCGCACAAAAAATGTGTCAGATTGGTTTGGGAAATTGATTTCATAGTGCCTGTCCACACAAAACACCATCAGACAGGCTTCGGTATTTTGTGCGTGGACACTGCAAGCGTGAGTATAAAGGGAAAGAGGGGGATTTTAATTAAATTCATTAATTCTAGATTGTGGCCACGTTTTGAAGTTAGACTCATCTTCCCCATCCTTGTGATGCTTCTTGAAGTTGTTGCTAATGTGTTTGATCAAGGGCCTCCCAGATCCATCACACTCCAATGCCCATCCCATGTGCCAATTTATTTCTACCCAATTCTAACCTTGCCAATTTATTTCTACCCAATTCGAACCTTACCTTAAAAGAAAGACTAATGTTGATGTTGTCGGGGAATATATTTTTATTTTTATTTTTCTTCTTTTCACCATTTTTTCTTATCTTTTTCTTTTCTTTTAGCAAAGATCACTTAGAAGTAGTCTTATTACAATAATTCTTGCTTCAAAAAAAATAAAACTAACAAATCTAAGATCTTAAAAACCTTGATGCCATTAAACCAAATCTCTTTAAACAAAGAAAACATTCATAATTATTATGCTTAAGAATATAAAGACAATATAATTAAATATGGTAACAAACAAAAAGAGAGTTCCAGAGATTGCTTCAATCGGGCTTCAATGCATTAATCTTGCTCAAGCTCCTTTGGTTTAATCTTTGGAGAGATGAGAGATAGATCAAAGAGAGAGAGATCAAAGAGAGAGGGAGATATCTACTAGCAAGGGGATCATTTCCTTTGCTACCCAAAAATCAAACCACCACAAGCTAACCTTGCCAGTGACACCTAGGAACGAGATAGATGACTTGGGCATGCCTTTTTAGCTTGAAAGAGATTTTGGTTGGGGTGTATGCTTAGAAAAATAGATTTCTCTTTTTATAGATTTTCTATGCCTTGGGATTTGTCATACTTAGTATTGTCAAATTCTATGCCTTGGGTTTACCTCAATTCGTAGGGTCATATCTTGACTGTTGATTTAAGGAGATTTGTGGGGTGAGAGATTTGGGCCATCAATCTTTTTGATCCACCATCAATATTCAAAGGGATGAGCTAGAATCTTATCCTCTTTTTCTAGATTTATTCCCATGAATAAAGAAAGTTTATCTTATTTTCTATTTTAGTATATTCAATCTTTATTTTCTTTGATCAAACAATCTTGATTCAAAGATTTACTAAATATTTCAAATATTCAACCTTATCATGAAAGTTGGCTAAGTTAGGCCGTATGGGTGCGGTAGCACCCTTTGGTGGCCCCACATGGGCCCCACCCAATCCCACATGTTCTAAATTGGCCCCATATTTATGGAGGGTCACATATAATTTTAGAAAATATTTTATTTTCTATTTAAATTTTTAAATCTTATATTTTATTTAAAACATTGAAAAATTAATTTCTCTTAATTAATAAATCCAAATGACAAAAATAAAATATCATAAGATTCACCAAAATTCAAATAAACATTCTAAAAATTCACATATCGTAAAATTAATTAAAATTAATTGATTTTGACAGGAATCGGATATGTTAGATCTAAGAATTTATTAGTATATAGGAGCACTCCACCTTTAACTGCGAACCACGATCTACCTAGCATTCTAAAACTAACCCAGCAGTTCCCATGACCAACAGTCAACTGCAGGGGCTCATGATTGGACCACCAAAGTTAGCCAATAGACTAGGGGATGCAAAGTTTATGGATTTCAGGTTCTCCCCTATAGACAAAAAAATTATGGTCCTTCAAGCATGATGCAACCATGACTCTAAGAAGATTCACCATCATTGGTAAATCTCAAAACGGCTATCTGTATACATATTGTATGATGATATAACGATGAGGTTTTAGTCATGTCTCTAAAGGTTATTTATCACATGCAATGACCACACAATCCATTGGCTCTCATCTCAGTATATGCCGACCTCATCAAGAGCTAACTCATTAAATCCTTTTTGGTAGATCCCTATGCCTAGTTATCTTGAGTTTTTTCAAACTCGACTGGCCTAGCACGTCGAGCCTAGTTTGAATATCAGCAAATCGCATTTACCTAGTATGGCCCACAAGAGGACTACACTCCCACTGGTTTTATGTTTTACTATATAAAATGCTCATATAAACTCTCATAATGTTACATAAACCCAACATGTCTCATAATGGCCACATAAACCTAACATGTCTTATTATGCCTTTAAAGGCCGCATAAACCCAATATGCCTCACACTCTTGAAAGAAACTATTCAAGGCCCAAACCTCTTCAGTGGAACAATCAATGCTTGTGGTTTCGAAAAGAATATTTGCAGCTCTCTAACCCCTCCCGAAACATCTAGATGACTTGGTCCCAGCCTCTATCAACCATTAAGTAACTTGAATTATTCAGTAAGGTTTGAATTGAAGGCATGCTCTTTTTCTCAAGGGAAGTCACTGCCATGGCCTTAGAAAAGGCGTTTTCTGGTGGGAAACATATCGAAAACATCCCTTCCGCCCATTGCATGTGTGCATGTTGCACTTGCGGATGGCGGATAATGGTCTTTGAGGGCTACATTATCGACTGGAAGATATACTAACACAAGGTTTATGACCACATGCACGACACGAGCGATCCCATGCCGAACTTACACTAAGGGCATTGTTAAGGGCTTGTGCTTAATGGGATGGTGCTTGAGGGCTGCAACTGCACTGGCTAGATTGTGATAAGGAGAAGAGAGTGTCAGGATCGATTTAAAGTGGCTACTAATACGGATTAGTGCAAAATCACATTTGGATCAAAATATGTCTTTGAACATCACTAGAAAATATAATCAAACACTTCATATGTATATAATCCAATCACATACGAAATATAAATGTATATCTACAACTATAGCTTCCTCTCCCAGCCCATATCTCTTTAAATAAAAAAAGTAGAGAAAAAAAACTCATGCCAACATAGAGGAGGGTTGGAAGTTATATAAATAATGAATAAGTAGTTTGGTAGTTTCAATCATGTTTCCCCATTTTTCTTTTTTCTTTTTTTTGTTTGTTGCAGTTTTCTTAATGTACTGACCACTAAGTGAGTGTCTGAACTTCTTCAATGAAAGTGGTCAATGCATCTGTTGGGAGAGGAAAATGACAGCCACATTCTTTTTTGTGCCATCCTTTCCTTTCTAGTACATGTGAACTTTTTTTAGGCATATCATTTTCACTGTTTCTACTTTGGTACATTTTTCAAGTCTTTTTGGATGATTCTATTTTAAATTAATGAGATGTTTTCCTTAACCTAAACATTCTAAATTGGCTCCATTTCTTACCTAATGTCAAATGATAAATTCTTTTACTAATCCCAAATTGGTTGTCTTTATCACTACTTGGATTTTACTTTCAACCCAAAATATACCTCTTATCACACTATTGCATCCTAATAAAAACATCGTGAATAAGATTCTTTTACTTAGCAAAATGATGTTTGGGAATTTAATAATAAATTCCCCCCTGTTTCCAGATGGGTGTTTTTTGCATTTCCACTGCCTGAATAGAAATTTAAACTATCTAAGTTTGTAGATGTTCGAATGGCCTATAAGTGGCAAATAGAGCAATTTTGTAAATTGGCCCCACTCTGTTAGGCATTTAGTGTGGGGCCGATTATCTGGAAAATCGCGTGCTTTCGGAATTAAGGCTAAACTACATAAAACAGATTTCCCCTTATCCCGACTACAGCAGTTTGGCTCGACGAGTTATTCGCCTCATCCAAACATGCCCTTGTTATCGTGCAAGTTGAATTATATTGATTTATTGGCATGCATGCAAGGTTGTCACTGAGTTACATTATGGAAAGTTATTTTAGTTATTTATAGTATCCATGAATATGAATATGTTGGCTTAAGTGTTTCTCCAAAACTGAAGTTGGTTTTATATCAAAAGGAAAATTTCAAGCATGATTAACTTACAAAAATTTTAGAGTACTGTAAAAAACACAAATGGGTATAGTTCTCAACACAATTGTTTCAATAATTGTTTCCTTTTTTCAGAGGTTTCCTAGTTCAGTACTTACTATGATACATAATTAATCTAAGTCTTGTTCAATCTTATTTTCAAAATCGAAATGAAAACTTTTAAGAAACTAGATGGGTGTGTGACCTGCCATTAGTTCGGATGTGAATAGTACATAGTGCATCTAATTGATGAAAATCGATTATTGCACTGTCAAGCATAGTTGCTAAGGAATCGCATATTTTCCATGTTTTATTCCAAGCCATGTATCCAGTCTTCATCTATTCATGGTGTTTAGATAAATGTGAAGTTTGCATCATACAAACCATCATTTCTATTGCAAGAGACTAATAAGTCATTGCAACCATTACTAAACTTCATTTTTCTCTTTAACAAAATGGTATTCATGAACAACTTCAAGAGCAGACTTGGATAAAATGCTTTCTGGAACGAGTGCTTTCTAGCATTAACCAATCCATCTCTAACTAGTCAAGAGAACACCTTGATCATGTAGGAAAAATATGTAAGAAATTGATCCCAGATCTCTTCAGCCTCTCTGGGCATGAAACATATGCCTTGGGGAACCAATGTTCTGAGGATCTTATTTAGGGTAGACAGGCAGATAAAAGTTAGGTTGTGAGTCAGTATGTGAATATTTGAGCCCAAGGACCTTGAGCAGTTTCCTAGACCTTCTCTCTTTAGAATTCTAAGGGATGTTTTGACTGAGACCTACTCTTCACTTGCTCCTTTCCTTAAATTGGTCCTGTCATCTACAAGATAAATTCCTCTTCCTAATCTCTTTATGTATCCTTCAAGTTTTTTCTAAAGCTTTGGGCACCAAATCACATTATCCTCAATTTAATTAATTCACACTTGCGTCCAACACGTACTTGTTAGAAACGAGAGGCCGCCCACATTTGGAATATCAGAATATGAGCTAAGATTCAGACCTTACCATTGCCACCCTAATCCATTCTCACTACTAAATTCTATAATGTTTGATGCAGGAGCAAGTAGGATGCCCCCTTGATTGAGCCTCTCTAAGAACTCAAATAACGTGGGAAATTCGGCAAGTTATGGTCATAGCAGACTCGGGTGGGGTAGTTTGGTCAAGTTTCAACTTGTAATAGGGTAGTTTTGGAAGTATTCAACAGTGTTTGAGGCTTTTTTGGAGAATAAGCAATGGCTAGAGTACCAGTATTAATGATTCAAAGTTACTATTTTCTTGGTTTCAATGTGTGTTTAGTCAATGTTTGAGTAGTTTGAGGGCGAAGTTTGTCCTCTCAATGTATGAGTAAACAGAAAAATTTATGAAAATGAGGTTTTGAGTATGGAAATATAGTTACAGGGTTATGAGTCTTAGTTGTCCAATCTACAAGATAAATTCCTCTTCCTAATCTCTTTATGTATCCCTCAAGTTTTTTCTAAAGCTCACATTATCCTCAATTTAATTAATTCACACTTGCGTCCAACACGTACTTGTTAGAAACGAGAGGCCGCCCACATTTGGAATATCAGAATATGAGCTAAGATTCAGACCTTACCATTGCCACCCTAATCCATTCTCACTACTAAATTCTATAATGTTTGATGCAGGAGCAAGTAGGATGCCCCCTTGATTGAGCCTCTCTAAGAACTCAAATAACGTGGGAAATTCGGCAAGTTATGGTCATAGCAGACTAGGGTGGGGTAGTTTGGTCAAGTTTCAACTTGTAATAGGGTAGTTTTGGAAGTATTCAGCAGTGTTTGAGGCTTTTTTGGAGAATAAGCAATGGCTAGAGTATCAGTATTAATAATTCAAAGTTACTATTTTCTTGGTTTCAATGTGTGTTTAGTCAATGTTTGAGTAGTTTGAGGGTGAAGTTTGTCCTCTCAATGTATGAGTAAACAGCAAAATTTATGAAAATGAGGTTTTGAGTATGGAAATATAGTTACAGGGTTATGAGTCTTAGTTGTCCAAGTGCTCAATTATCCTAGAAATACCCAAGAGAAATGAAAAAAGAGGTGGGTCTTTCGAGTGAAAAATCTTATTTGTTTTGCAAGCAAACTCTCTACTATACTTGGTATTGAGCAAGTTTCTCCTACATGGAGCCGAGTGATTCCTCCTACCCAGCATTGAGTGATTCTGAGACAAGCTAGTTAAGTGATTCCCAGCTACACGTTGAATGCCCTAGCCCACATTAATTTCAATCCTGTCACTGCAATCATCTTTTGCTGGTCATACATGCCCACAAAGAAGTGCCAGTTATTGTTATGTGGTATGTTTACTATAACCTTTGGTGTCATCATTATCCCATCAAATGGGTTGCTCCTGATGATTGGAGAGAAGCCAAAGGATGAATTCCTATTTTGTGGGACCCACTCCCCAATCATCTCATATAAAACCATTGACATGATTGTTATGACTAGGGTTGTTAACAAGACAAGCCAGCTCACAAGCTGGCTCAGTTTGGCTCCAAGGCTCGCCAAGCTTCAAATCCGAATCTGCAAAGCTCTCGCTTTACATGAAATCTTAACAGATATTCTAATCTTAACACTGCGACCCTAGTCCAACCCCACCCCTAAACTCTCTGTGTGTGCCCTAGCACCTCAGCTGTCTTTTGGTGCTCATACTTGCCCACATACAAGTGGAAGATATAGTTATGTGGGTCTGTATACTCATGCATCATGGAAAGAATATGGACTTAGGGTCATCACCGCCCCATGAAACAGGTTGGACATTGATGGTGGGACTGAAGCCAGTACAAGAGGGCATATTTTGTGGGATCCACGCCTTGATCATCGCCTAAGTAACAGTTAATAATTATGGATGTTAACAAGGCAACCAACTTGGTCTGGCTTGTAATGAGCTAAATTGAGTTGTACTCTACATCCTGACAAGCCAAGCCAAGCCCAACCCAACAGCTCGGCTATTAGTGAAACAAAACCAAGCTTAACAAGCTCAGCTTGTGCTTGTTTACACACACATGTATGCATAACTTATAACTTTCTTGTGCTTGACTTGTTTATAAACAACTCAAATTGTTTGTGGGCTTATTAAAGTAAGCAAGCCAACCCATGCCAAATTCACGTTTATCTACCCTCAATTAAACCAAGCTCAACCTTGATGGTTCAAGCTCGAGTCAACTTCAAGCCAAGGTCAAGTAGATCCTCTACACAAAGGAGCCCAATTTGAATAAGTCTGAGCTCAGTGTTTCCTGTGACCATGCTCTTTCCAGGGTTATATAGTTCCTAGTGTTTTTTCATGGTTACATCCAAATGCATCATTAGTCATATATTTAATTGAAACAACATGCATTTTGTACATTTCTCTTTCCTTTTTCTCTCACGAATTTGCAAGGTACTTATATTCAATTGAAACAACATGCATTTCGTACATTTCTTTCTGCCACATTTTTGCATGTTACTGTGCATCTCTTAAGGGCTTCATAACATGCCTTAGATGGAATTGGTAAGGGTAGCCTTTTGTATATTTCTGTGCTGCTTTCCCTCTTTGATGTAAAATGTGAATCTATTATTCTTCATATTGATCCCTTGGACCTTTTTCCTACCCAGGCCCTAAGCTTCTTCCTTGTCTATGCTTTCTAATTGTGCATATTCGAAGGCCTCCCTGATGATATTGCACTCATGTGCCTGGCTCGTGTGCCATTCTCTTCATACCCAACCCTTTGCCTCGTCTCCCACTCATGGCGGGATGCGATACAGAGCCCAGACCTCTTCAAGATGCGGATCGAAGTAAACTCCACTGAGGATTTCCTATGTGTTTTCGCCGCGCAACGTGAAAACCTTTGGCAGCTCTATGACCCCTCGAGAGATATCTGGATGAGCCTGCCCCCACTCCCAACAACTATCCATAGAATTAGATGGTTCTGTACCTCAAGTGAACATCCTTTGGACCCACTAACTGGGGGAAGTGAACATCCTTTGGACCCACTAACTGGGGAAATCGGACCCCCTGTAGTGACGAACGAGGTGTGGTGTTACAACCCAGCATGGCGCCAGTGGGCCCAGCACTCACCTATGCGATCTCCACGTCACTCGTTCGCTTGTTGTGCTTGGGAGGGCCGGATACTCATCGCAGGGGGCTTCACTACAGGAGAGGTGGAGATCAATGCAGCAGAGGTTTACGACCCCGTGCTTGATGTGTGGTAGCCGATCGCAAATTTACGTGCAGCACGAGGTTTGGGCTGCTCAGCACGTATGATTAGAGGGAAAGTGCATGTTGTGGCAAGGTCACGTGAAAACACACAAGTGTGAGAAGGTGGGGAGCGCGGTTGGGAAATTGTGAACTATGCTGGACCCCAGACGTGGGGTGTAGTCATGGCGGATGCATTTTACACTGTGACCACTAGGTCGGTTTCTGCCTACGAGGAGGCAGGGTTTGGGCCCATGCGTGAAGTGGGACAAGGTCCCCCCAGCTGTCTTGGAAGATTTGGTTATGGAGTGGGTCATGCAGGGGGAAAGTTGTTTGTGGTTGGGGGTGTGAGAAGAACAAGGACGGCTTGGAGAATTTGGTCTGGTTCCAACGCGACTTATCTGGCTAATGTGGATGTATTAGGATTAGGCGAGGACGAGCCGACATTGCCCCGGGCAGCACCCATGACTCGATGCCTGGGCTTTGTGTTGCATTGCACTAATCTGAGGATATGAGGATGGACATGGGAGGAGTAAGAGGCTTGAGTTGGTTAACTTCCAGTAAAGCATGAGTAGTTTTAGCCATGTTGTCGCTTTTTATGTATGTTGGATTCTGCTTCTGTAGGGATATGAGTATGGAAATGGGACGGGCAAGATGTTTAAATCAGTTGACTTCAGTAAAGAATAAGTAGTTCAGCCATGTTGTTCCTTTCTTTTTATTGGGATAGGAACCTTAAAAGTGATTTAAACTTAAAACCTAGTTTTATTTATGCATGGGAGCCACATGATTGTTACACTGCAAGGTAGAATCACAGGCATCTTCTTGTTGGGGAGATGATTCAAGATGGATTTGGATTAGAAGGGCATATGATACTTTGGCATGAATTTGAGAGAGGAGGTTTTGGAAGATGAGAGAAGAAGAATCTTGAGAAGGTTACACACTGGTTTTTAAGAGTTCTTTCCCTATTACATGTTATGTGATCTTTTGGAAGGGAAAGAAGAGAGAACTATTGTTAATCTTAATTTTGTTTATATGTAGAATGCATGTGTTTGTCATTTTTCTCTCCCATGGATTGGCCATACTGAAACATAACAACTAAAAAAAGTATAAAATCGACGACTCACTGTTGTCTGAAAAAAAAAACCCTTAATCTAAGCTAGAAACCCAACATTTATGGACTATTTGGAATCAAGCACCTATGATCAAATTAGCTAAGGGAAAACTTTATATGTGGCCCCACCTATTTATAAAAAATATCTCATCTTTATTCCCATTCATCGGATTTCGATGAATACACAATTGGGATGATAACAGGCGTAATATTATTAATTAATTTTCGAGTGTTGGATCTTGTTTGGATGGCTCAAAGTATTTTATGTTTGCTTTCATATATAAATCATCATGCATTGATATTTATGATGTGTGCCTCTAAGGGTTACACCCGATGAGAAACAAAAATCAAAAAATGCTTGTGAGTTAAAATAACCAAAATACCCTTAAACAATAAAATGTACTTTTTATTTTGGCTCCAATTAAGGCAAGGGCCACCCAAATTTATTGTAAAACTGAGTTGCAGGTAAAAAGGTCACATTATGACACAAAATATCCCACCCATCCATGGTTGAAAAAAACAGACCACATTTTTTTACACGTGTTTCACGTAGGGCCACGGAACTAATCATCAAAAAAAAAAAAAGAAAAAGATTTCCTACTCCAGCAGAAGCATAGTATCCATCTACTTTCTCATTCAAAATTAACACTAGGAAGATATTTTGGATCCCAAATTTTGGGGATGTGATTTCTAGGATCTGACAACCAACCTCAAAGAAAAAAAATTAACTCAAAGTGGTTCAAAAAAAAAGATCCCAAGATTGCATGAACCATTTTGCAGAGAATAATCTAGATATTAAAAAATTAGAAATCCATTTTTTTTTTTTAAAATAATCATCTAGGGTGGATCCCAAAATTTTTGCCCCGAGGGAGTAAATGTATACGACGATCCCGAGGGAGCACTATATGAGCTCAAGAGTAAAAAGGGAGCGCCACCGTCTTGATTGACTTGTAGCGAATGAGGGTTTTATGTTAGTCGCTCAATAAAATTACGCACGTAAATACAAAACATTTGTACGGGGACTTCTTGGACGCTCCAGAGGAGGACCTACAATTGCGTCTGCTTTAGTTTCCACTTCTCTTTCTCTCTCTAAACCATTCATCATTTCAATCGACGGTGATATCCCTTGACCACTACTTGCCCTAGGGCAAGAAACAGATTATAATGGCCTGGATGGAATCAGTGGATCGTGATTCAGCGTATAATCATGTTGGGGTTTCGATATTATCTCCATCTCTTTTAATGGTAACTCTCTCTCTCTCTCTTCATTTTTTGGGGGCTTATTTTTTCTGAAGTGAGTGGTTTTACAATTTTTATGCTTTTGGAAACTGTATTCTTTCATCGAATTTCTTGTTGCCTAAGCATTGCTGGAATTGGGGTGCTGTATTTTTTTCATTTTACCAGAAAAAAGATGTTTGGGAAATTCATGATCAAGTGAGAGCAGGGTTTTTCTTCAATTTCCTCCTCCTTTATCTTCTATAATTTAGCAAGTTGATATTTGAGTGGCTCATGATCAATGGTCCTACTCCTAGGGGTATTCTTTTCTACTCTTTCTAGAGGGTTTATTTTCACATTTCTACTTCCTTCCTAGAAATTTAGTTATAACATTTTTGTGATTTTATTAAATCATTGAGTTACATTATTTTCTGTGATTTTATTAAATCATTGAGTTACATTATTTTCTTTCTTCATTTCATGTGTACTGTGATATTATTCCTCATTAAATCACATTTAGTTGTTAATTTTGTATTTTGAAATGCATTCTTTTAGTTACTTTCTTTTCGATGAATATGTTGGTTTTAGGGGTTATCTAGAGTAAATTTGTTGGTTTTAGCTTGAAAGGAATGTGACATGCACGATTTCCTTTTCAAAAATTTCAAGGAACTCTTGAAAGACTAAATGCATCAATGACCAATCTGTATCAAATTGAAGTGGTGGACAATGGGGTTCCCCTCCCCCCCAAATCCCCCCTATTTGATTTTTTTTTTTAACCAGTTCTTCACTGATTCAGCCAATGATTTAAAAAGCGGATTGGTGACCCGGATCGGCACCTCAAAAACCGATCCGGATCGGGAATCGGCTGAATTGATCGGATTAAAGCTTCAAAAAAATCCAAAAAAATTATTAAAATTCATTATAAATGTTGTTTTTCAGAAATCCAATAAGAAATGAGGGTACTACATTATTAACTTTCAATTTTTTCATCAATTTTTTAATATTGAGATGCTCTTTCCCTGTATAAACTTAAGTATTAAATTTGCATCACATAAAAAAAAATCATAGCATTATCATGGATAAAATATATAATTATACGTGGACTAATAAAGAATAGACTAAATCAATGAAAGAATGGCCATTAAAATCTCGTTTTGGCGAAAAACCCTAATCCGCTAAAAATACCCAAATTATTACAACCTAACTAACTATAATCCAAAATTATTACAACCTAACTAACTATAATCCAAAATTATTACAACCTAACTAACTATAATCCAAAATTATTATAACCTAACTAATTATAATATTATATACTGAAATTATAATTATTAGTTTACATTTTATAATTATTTTATTAGATAAATAATAACAAATTAAAAATATTTTATAATATTATCTAATTTAAAATGTATTATTGACAACTATAAGAAAAATAGTACATTACATGATTTATAATGTAAAAATTAATAAATAAAATAAAAGATTTGGTTATCAATGTAAAAATTAATAAAATGCGTACAAATTTTGGAAAAAACACTTTAATTTATTATATGCCCAAGGGGGAACAAAAATTAGCTCAAGAAAAGATAACTCTTATATGGTCCGAGAGGGGATTCGAACTTGAGATGTCAAAACAAATAACATTAGTGATAACTATCATGCCTCCTTAACATATGTGTTTAAAATTGCCTATTAATAACATATATTTACATTATATTTTCATTTAATGATGTTTGGGAATTATCCAACATCAAAGGATGAGTATTCAAATATGCTATATAAATAACTATGTAATTGGAAGATTAATGCAAGTGTGAAAACACTAGGGCTTCAGTGCACATGGCACACGTGCATGTGTGTGTCACACGCGTGGCACATGTGGGAGTGGTGTGCGTCGCATGTGTGACGTGTATGTGTATGTGCGCGTCGCACGTGTGGCACATGGAGGAGTGGTGTGTGTTGCACGTGTGGCACATGGGGGAGTGGTGTGTGTCGCGCGTGTGACGCGTACACACGTGTGGGAGTGGTGTGTGTGGCACGCGTGATGCACACACATGCGTGCATGTGCGTGTGGCACATGTGGGAGTGTGTACGGCTCGTGTCACACGTACACACATGTGTGAGTGGTGTGTGTGGCACGCGTGACACGTACACACGTGTGAAGGCTAGAACCGAGAGGGAACCGGTTAGACCCGGGAGGGAACCCGGTTAGAACCGGGAGGGAATTGTTAGAACCGGGAAGGAACCGGCGGTTCTGCTCTGGAATCGGGCGGTTCCCGGTTTTGTGTTGGAACCGGCATGGCCTGTGCCGATTCCCGAGTCGAACCGGGCGAGTCCGGTTTGACTCGGCGATTTTTAAATCATTGGATTCGGCCAATCCAAATCGCTGATCCAGCTGATCTGGATGAGTACATAGGGTGGGAAATCCAAAACCCAAACAATTCATTGCTATGCTGCAGATTAAATATGAGGATTGTTGGATCTATTATAAATGAAATATCATTCACCATTAATTGGTCTCATAACTTGTGTGGGATACAAAAACCATCCCTAGTGGGTGATACTTGGTCGATTGCCAAATAGTTGATAATTACTATGCAATGGGATATCAATATATCATAGTTTGGGTACTTTGTATAAACATGTGTCTTGCTTTGTCATATTGATCTGGCACCAAAATCCTTAAACCCATTATTTTACATAATTATGATGATGGTCAAGGTTATTTTTTCTAGCCCCAGCATTTAGTTAACCATTGACTCTGCAGCTGATGAGCGTATGTCACATAGACCCTCATTTCTATTGCTAATGTAAGTAGAAACTTGTATCATATAGACCCCCATTTATATTGCCAATGGACCTGGTCCATGCTTGCATACAATAGTACTAGAGCCAAGCTTCCTGTTTTAGAGAGCTTCATGTTTAGAAAGTTCTCACCTTTTTATATTGAGTCTTCTTAATCTCCTGATACACTTTTTGTAACATATGATATATACTTGTTTGAATGTTTATACATTGTGTTGTGAGAACTAAAGGTTGTGTTGCAGTACATGTTAGGAATATAAATCGCAGTTGGCAATCCATTTCCTGAAATTGTTTTACACCATAGAAGGCATGAAATAAGTTTTTATTTTTGTTTCCATCAGAGTTGGGTTTCAAGCAGTCTTATGGCTTACCCAACCAAACGCAAGGTCTAGAATTGAAATTTTGATGCTAGCCATCGTCTTTACCTTCTTTCCTTTGCATCCAATCATATGCTCTAACTATCAGAAGGGAAATAATGAGCATGTAATTTAGTTCATTCTGGACTGGAGCCCATGCCATGTTCCTCTGGTTCATTCGTTCAACCATTGATAACTCTATATGTTTTTCTTCATCTCTAGCATATTCAGGTATTAATATTGCATCATGATTACATAAGATTGATGTGTAAGAACGTGATCTACAATCTCTTCATCCTCCTTATTTATGAACTGTATGTTAGGGATTGAAGCCCCATGTTTAGGTGATCTTATATGGAGTAGCCAACCAGCCAAAAGTTTGGGTGCAATGCCGAATTATGAAAGTCAGCTAGAGGAGCTCCCACACTTTCATCCTGAAGAATTCTAAAGAATAATTTGACTAAGATTTAGTTGACTCTGTCTCTTCAATAATTTGTCCTGCCCTATGCTAAATAAACTCTTCTTCTAGGCAACCCAACAAACATCCTCACTCCTCTCTTTTAATGTCCTTCAAGTTTCTTCTAAAGCTTGCACATGAAATCAATTGTCCTCTGTCCAATCTGCGCACTCGTTGACCAACACCGTTGAGCTAGAAATGAGGCTTACCAATTGTCAAAAGTGAATTTGCAAAGCTTCCACCTGATTTACACCCTGCCTCTAGAGAGTAAATGCATCTCTCGACACCTGAAAAACTGTTATGTTTCCTTCCCCACCCCCCAAGAAAACAAAAAACAAAAAAAAAGAACAAAATTATGAATGACTTGCTTTATTTGGAATTGTTAAGGCGAGCAGCTTATATGTTTGTGAGCCTGTCTCACATGTCAAATGGTAGTTGTTCTTCATGTTGATCACTTGAATAAATAACTTATTTTTCTACCCAGGCTGTTCTGCACTTTTTGGAGCTGCACCTTCTGACTATGATATGACTCGAGGGTCACCAATGAGCTTGATTGAAGGCCTTCCCGATGCAATCACACTCGAATGCCTGGCTCGACTGCCATACTCTCTCTACCGATCCCTTTGCCTCGTCTCCCGCTCCTGGCGGGACGCCATACAAAGTCAATACCTCTTCAAGGCAAGAATAAATGCAAACTCCACCGAGGACCTCCTCTGTGTCTCTGCATTCCAGCCCGAGAACCTCTGGCAGCTCTACGACCCCTCCACAGATGTCTGGATGACCCTTCCCCCCCACCCCTCAACCATCAAACAACTCAAACGCTTTGGAACCGCCTGCATAGGTGGTAACCTCTTTATCATCGGGGGAGGTAGTGATGGTGTGGACCCGAACACCGGGGACCGTGATGGCACGCTTGCCACCAACGAAGTGTGGTCTTATGACCCTGTACGCTGCCACTGGTCCCCGTGTGCGCCAATGTTAGCAGCGCGCACCATGTTTGCCTGCTGCTCGTTCAAGGGGCGGATAGTGGTTGCAGGGGGCTTGAACAACCGACACAAGGCCATGACATCAGCAGAGGCTTATGACCCCGAGCTCGACATATGGGTGCCAATCCCGAACCTGTGCCAAGCCCATAATCTGGGTTGCTCGGGGCTTGTGGTTAGTGGTAAGGTGCATGTAATGCATAAAGGGACTCCTTCAATGGAGGTGTGGGATGGAGGGGAACATGGTTGGGAAATTGCAAATTGTGGCTGGCCTGAATGGCCAGCAGTAGTGGCGGGGGAGAAGGTGTACTTTGTGAGCCATGGCCGAGTGGAGGAGTGGGGGGATGGGGGGAGGGCACCCATGAAGGTAGTAGGGCAGGGTCCTGAGCCCAGGGGGGGTGGATTTGGGGTGGGTTTCATCAGGGGAAAGTTGTTTGTGGTTGGGGGGTGGAATATTTCGGGGATGAGGCGATCGAACATGAACATCGAGCTGCTGGCGGATGTGGATATGTTGGATTTGGGGGAGGAGGAGTTGGCATGGCGACGTGTGGCACCCATGACACGGTGTAGGGGCACTGTGGTTGGATGCACTTCATTGAGGATTTGAAGGGGAGATTGGGGGGGAGGGCTTGTGATGAGGCTAGTTATGAATGGGTGGTTTGGCAATGTTGGGCAGGGGAGAGTGGGTTAGTTGGGCTTGGAGGTTGGAGGTTGGATGTTGTGTTAGGGCCCTTAAGTCACCAAATCATAAAGCCAAGTGCCCGAATCCCAATTTCAAGCCATGTATTAGGATGGCGTAGTTGCATATGGAGATGCTGGAGCGTGGATGTTGGAAGTATGATATTTCTCGAAAATATTTGAGAGGAGTCTTGGAAGATAAGAGAAAAAGAATATATGTGGAAAGATAAAGGCCTGCTATTGAGAGTTTAAGCAATTTCACTTGTGATTTTAATAATCGTATCCAATGTTTAGAGAAGTGTGTACTGTGACCTTAGCAAAGGTTGCTTTTCTCATGTATAAAAGTTGTGGGTAATCTTATGGCCAGGGGAATGGAAAACACATAAACATTCTGTTGTTAATATTCCTTTTTCTTATAAATTTGCTTCTCATTTTTCTTGTAAATTTTTTATTTTCCTCTGGCACTTCTTTTGTTATGAACCTGAGAGTGACTTTTTCTTAGAGGGCCAAAATGCAATATTCAAATATTTTCAAAAAATCTTGGGAAAAACTTAAGTTTGGACAATTTTTCATTTTAGGCATCATACTTTTGAAATGAATGGCACAAGTCTCAAAATGTGTAATTGCAATGTGTTGGTAAGAAACTAAGAATTAATTGAAGAAAAATTGTTTCATGTGGGATGGACCGCATTTCTACAATATACGGTAAAGAGGTATAAAGCATCCATCTTAAAGATGGATGCAAATAGGTGGTCCATCTAAAAACAATAGTACTTAACTGTCCAAATATCTTCTTAATATAATTATTACTTCTAATTTTCAAAAAAAAAAAAATCCATATTCATGATCTTCATGTTAAAGATTTTATACTCTCTAAAAATTAGGATCAAATTATATTTAAAAAATATATTTATTGCCAAGCCCTCATTTCTACAATATCTGGGTTGACCACATATTAACTGTGTCCTTAATTGAAACTATGTATTATTATTATTTTACAACAAGTAATAAAATACCATTTTTTCCACTAGCTAGTAAAATGGAAAATATATATAATAAAAAAATATAAATAATAAGACTATTTACTTTTGGTACAAGTCGATCACGACTATTGTTAATTGTTAGATGTAAAATTAAATGGTTGGAGATATATCATTTATTGGACACAATGTCCAAAATAAAATTTTCAGAATATTGTATCACATCGGAGGGTTAAAAATGGTTTTGACCCCCTTAGATAAAAAATAAATGGCCTTACACTATACAATCCCAGTAAAATAACATTAGGTAAGAAGTCCGTACCAAAAAAAGGTCAACTAGCAAGCCCATAAGATAGACTATTTTGAACACCTAGCACTGAAGTTTATTTACGAGGAAAAGAATTAACAAATATGGAACGAATTGTGTACAAATATGGGAAAAGTGCAAAAAATGGATTATTCATGCCTGATGAATTCCAATAACATAGTCAGCGTAGATTTATTAGCTCACCCATGACAGATGAATATTTTAACACCATAACCCTTATCTTTTGATTTAATTTGAAATTACCCATAAAAATCATACCTAACTTGAGCTGGAATAGTTGGAAATGGGTAAAATATTGTATTTTGATCCCCATTATCAATTGGAAGCCTATTTCAACGTGTTTTCACCTTTTCATCTTGTTGGGAGTTTAGATTGGCTTGGAGTGAGTCAAGAAATTTGAGAATTTTTTATTAAAATTTTATGTCTATTCAATGGCAAATTCTTATCATCACTTATTTTGAAAATTAAAAGATAAAAATGATTATAACTTCCATAAAAATAAGATAAACAATTTATTTATATACAATATAAATATATTGGACAAGACAAGGGATTCCTATTCTTGAGTGAGAGGTAAACTCGCCCGTACGCACTACTTTTCATGTTGCATTGTGTCATTTCCATTTGACCACCGTACATTAATCATTTTTCATAACTTTTATAACACAATTAGAGAGAAAAATCTTTTTAACAAAGGCAAAAGCAAAAGAAAAACTTACATATCAAGGTCATTTCTGCATCAACATGAGAGGATCCTTTTTATGTCAATATGTGTATTGGGTGCATGTATTTACCGTTGGTATAAGGTTGCAATCTTATTTGTAAGTATTTGCAGTGTAATTATTTGTGATTAGTATAAGATTGTAATTTTATTTGTGAAAATAAAATTACGATGTTCTATACGTTTCATTTTATTTGGACAGTGCAGATTTGATACATCTTTTAAAATAATACCAATACATAATATGTCTTAAAAGATAATCTCTAATCTACACCATCTAAATAAAATAAATATTGTAGATTTTACTGTAACTTTATTTCTGCAATTAAGGTTGCAACCTTATATAAATTTTTTCTCTGCGTAAAAGTAGATTATTTTCATTAAAAATATCTACTTCTAAGGAGTTTCAATTCAATCTCAATTAGTCTTGTAAGTCACTCCCTTACAGTAACTTAAAAACATTATAACTTGGCTATGTCTCTAACATGCTTTGACAAATAATTGAAATTGAGATGCATTTATTCTCTTAAGCATCCATCTTCTAATGCTCCATAAGCACCTGTCAATTTATTCTTGCATGGGATTCATTGCTTGGGACAAGACGAGAATTTCTCTCCCTTCCTATTTCTCATCAACCTAGGAACTTACAACTTACCAGTACATGGGCTATGAAATACAGGTGTTTTCCTAAGTGACCTAACCACCAAAATCCATGTAGACCCTTTTTTTGTCATTTGTTTTGTTTCATATTAATTGAGGCAGCATGTCAAACCAAACTCTCCAAATGATTTAGTATTTGAAATCTCTTTCATCATATGATACGACTGAAGTCAGTTCAGCACCATACAAGATACCGCTACTTATCAGCAGAAAAATGGCAACAAAAATAGAATCACATTTCTACTTCTCATACACACACACACAGTTTTAAAGTCAAATTCATGACAGATATTTCGACAGATCATCTCTCAAGGCCTGCCCCTGAGGGTCCACAACTTGAGACAGCTCCTCTTTGTACCCCAGATCATGGTGGTCTGAAAGAGCAACCCCTTCCTTCAGTCCATCACCTCCATCAATCATAATATTGTGCAACAAGCAACATACGAGTATTATGCTTGGAAGCTTATGCTTATCAGGCCTCCACATCACTTTGTGAAGTATCCTCCAGCTCCCCTTTAACTGTAACAAGGCCCTCTCTGCAACTCTCCTTGCTTCCTGATGCTTAGCATTAAAACCAAAAGAATCTCTCTCCTCATAAGGCGTGATAAGCCAAGGAAGAAGAGGGTAGGCCCCACTACCCAGGATATACTCTCTTACCCGAGCCCTCGAGGGCAAAATGGTCAAAACCCTCTCAGGCCCAACGAGCCTCTCACCACTCTCGCACAGCTTGAAGAATCCTGAACACTTCAAAATAAGAGAGAGGTTCATACTGCCTGGCCAACCCGTAACTATATCTAGAAACCTTAGGTTATGGTCCACTATAACTTGTAGAAGCATGCTATAGTTTCTCTCACTGTCACACCAATCATCTGAGGTCTCAATTGCTGGTAAAGTCATGGTTATATGAGTAGCATCAATGGCTCCACAACAATTTGGAAACCCCAAGTTGGCCTCAAAACCCGCCTTTATTTCTTCCATTTCAGTGGGCCCCGGCCAACTTAAGTGGTGGCAGGCCCTTACCTCCATGGACTCAATGAAGCGCCATGTCACTTGAGAGACAGTGGATTGGCCAACACCAAAGGCTTCTCCAACAGAAACTTGGGATTCACCAGAGGCAAGCCTACGCATCGCTATGGCTACTTGCTTCTCAACAGTCAGGAGTCTGCCTTCTATGTTTATGAGGCCTAAGGGAGGTCTTGAGACCAGGTCTTCTCTCACGAGGGAGCATATGTAGTCGAATGTTTTTTTCGAGACCCTGAAGAAGTGTTTGAACCTCTCCTCTTCTTCATCATGGAGTGATGGTCCTGCTTGACCATGAGGGTGGTCAGCTACAATGTGCTTTTCTGAAGCTGGTCACAAATATACAGGAAGGGGAAGGGAGAACTTAAGCTTAAGATTTTCATTAATGGTTGCCATAATAGCCATTAGCTACAATGTAATTCTAACAAAATTGGTAAATGAAAGAAAACCATGTTAGTGTTACTAAATCACCATAAGTATTCCAACTATGTCGGGAGGGGCTTACCTAAGCGGCCAAGCCTTTTAGGGGAGAAACGTGCTCATTATAGGAGGAAGTGAATACATAAATGTGTTTGTGAAATGTAGATCAGATACAAGAGTACTAGAGAAGCAACACATAAATATAGACCTGCATAACCAATAGTAATGCATTGTGCTGTAACACAAGCATCCTCTACATTGTGATGCACCAAGAACTGAATTATACTAATCATGGTCATGAAAGTGGAAGCCTGCCATCCAAAGTCACAGACGATACCTAGACATTGTTGGGCTTTTTTCTTTTCTTCTTCGTTAACATAGTCGGGTTTATATTTAGATTAATTTCTGCCCAAATTAAGCTAATACTATTTTAGTTATGCTATGTTCTTTAACACTCAAGAGCCCAACTTGTCACATCATGTACACAAATCATGGACAATCATATAGAAAGCCTAGAAAGAGCAAAAAGTTCTAAGAACAAAATAACATGTTTTGTTACTCATTTATACAAAGAAAAAACTGCACCAACCAGCTTAAACAGTAACCAAAACAATTTCTTTTGGCCATATAAGAAACTCATGGATCAAATGAAGTCCATATTTATGGGAATCCATAATTATGAAATAACTTTTCTCGCGCCTATAAGCATGGGCCACATAGGCAGTTGTTCTTTGTTGTGCATGGAGTGGGCCAAGTTCATTATATGGAGCACAAAAAATTGGTATGTTCGCAGGATCTCAGAGTCTTTCTTATTGATGTTTTCATAGCCTTATGAAGATTGAGAAATAATGGAATGCAACTTCTTAGTGTTCGACAATACTTTAAAGAGATTATTGACAATGTTGAAGTTTCATATGGTTAGGGTGGTTGGGGAATTCAGCTACTAGACAAATAAACATAAAAATATAAGCTTTTTTATTTTTCTTTGGGCAAGTAAATATCAATTGAACCCAGCGATTAGGGTTGAGATAAAGGGTTCTGCAATGTGACCCGATAACAGTTGGAGGTATTTCAGTATTTGAAGCATAGCTAGCTCATGACTCAATGCTAACTGGATACCTTTTTCTTGTTTAGGAAAAAATGGCAACTGGATGCTTACTGCTCAAAGACGTCTAGTTAAGCCACAGGTTGAATATGCGTAATGATTGGGAGAAAACCACAAGTTATAGGGGATATGACGTAGAGTTTGTGTCTGTGTGTGTGTATGAAATCTTTAAGAAAAATCAACAAAACAGAAAAACCTAAAAGAAACAATGGCTATTATTTTATCACATGGGAAATGAACCGAAAATCTGAAATGTAAAATTTCATATATAAATTCTTAAGAACTCAATATCAAACAACACTTTTAGATAAAAAAAAGAAGAAATAAAAACAAGTTAAGCAACCCTTCCTTGCAGCATAAACTTCAGGATTTACAGTTATTTCAATCACTTTCAATAGTTGAAAGCTTCAAAAGGGAAAATGTAAGAATGAGGAGTGCTAATGTTGTATGGAAATGATGCCCCTTGATTATGTATCACGATTTAAATTGCCTACACAGAAGATAGTGTAATGTGATTTTGCATGGAGTGGTAGCACCAAAAGGATAAAATTAACTTAATGAACTGACAGTAGGCTCATAGATCAACATACAGAGGGGACGTGGGTATTAGGAAAACGGAACATGAGAACCAGGCAACGTGGACTAGATTGATGTTATGAATAATATAACTTTGGAGAAACACAACGAGAAAGGTACTAAAGTGTCTTAAGGAGAGTGAAGCTTGCAGCTCCAGAGGCCAATTGAACTTTAGTAAGAGCATGTGGGTGGTAGAGAAAATGGCATGTTCTACGACTAACATATGCAGCCAAGGTGGTGAATCAAAACTCTGTGAGTCTGACTCAGTCTCGCCCGAGATACTCGGACACGGTAGGTTGAAATCTAGAATCCAACCCATGCAAGCCTAAGACTCGGCCGAGTCTCTGACAGACTTGGCCAGCTGAGTTTTCTGACTCGGGCTTCACACCCTAGCGAGTCCCGAACCAAGCCCTTGCTTTAAACCACCGACGTAAGGATATGAATCAATATTGTAAGGCATTTTTACATAAGTGGAAGTGGTATCACTAGGATATCAGTGTTAAAGGGAAATATGGACAAGAAGAGAAGGCAAACAGATCCCTTTGTCGCAAGTCTTTATAAAATGTCTCTCAGGGTGAATAAGAAATTTATAGAACCCAATATTAAGTCTTTTCAAATGGAGTGCACAAATCAAATGGCTAACTAGAAAGAGATTTGCAGACCAGAAAAAATAGTGGGGCCAAATGAATGCTATGATTATCCCCTTCAGAGATTATTCTTCAAAATACCTATTCAAACATCCATCAAAACTTACCTCTGAAACTTAGTCAAATGGTGAAGGACTGAAAATTTGCATTAGCAATTACAAGAGAAAGTTCAAACTCTTCCTCGTGAAAATGTGCAAGAAACAATCTTAACACATAATCATATACTGAAATTCAATATTTCAGATTAGTGGGAAAGGAACAAGTTCAATAATAACCTACATTCATCAGAAACATAATTTAAATAAACTAAACTGAACCAGAACGAACAAGGAACTAGAAAGAAACATTATTTCATAGATAATATTATTTAAACCCCGTTTGAATCGACAATTGGGGTATGATAACATATTCATAAATAATCACTAGATTAACTGTTCAGAAATACAGCAATATCTACCACTCGTTATAGCAAGCGTACCCTTTTTTTGGCTATGGAAATTTGATCCCAAAAAAAATGAAAAATAACATAAATAAAGTGAGAAAAATTATCGGTGCAGAAAACCAAATTGATGAGCACATACCAATAAGATAAAATAGAATAAAAATAGGTCAAAAATATATTCCATTCGTAGATCCTACAAACAGTTTGAAAAACCACTTGTGATTATACGGAAACACCCACAAATATTCTATTATATTTCTCACTCATCATTCAATCAAATCACTCAAAAATGAGAGAGGGGAGCTTCCAGTTATTAGAGACAGACAAGAGAGAAAGAGACGGAAGGGCGGAGGGGGAGAGAGAGAACCTGAAGAGGGTATAAAAGGAGTAGAATTTTTATTGCAAAAGCTTTGCCACCAATCCGAATCGACAGCCTTGGCTTCAGGGGGAAGAGAAGAGCTGCATTTCTCTCTCTCTGCAACAATGGCCCCTTTCTTGCTCTTCTTTTTCTTCTTCTTCTTCTTCAACTTCTTCACAGGCGCCATAAAACCAAAGCAAAACGAAGAACACAGGCCAATATATACAGAAGGGGCATAATAGTCATTTGTTAATTTGAGGAGAATAATTGATATTTATTGGAAGGGAAAAGTTTATATAAGGTTGCATTGCAGAATCCCACATGCACCTAAAAAATCTATGGAAAATGTTGTTTTAATATCGAAAAAACCTTTTAAGAGGTGATCTCCAGATCGTGATATATAATATGAAAAAAAAAAAAGTTTTTAAATTCTTAAAATAGAACATATTGCAATACATTATCTAGACTATCTATTTTCAAGATTTTTATATGTTTATAAATCTACTTGATTTTAATTATTTTTTAATTTTAAATTTTTCTAATTAGGTATGAAAATAAATTTTAAAATAATACTAAAAAAATTTTACAACAAAATTACATGTTATGATAGAATTTTAATGCGCGCTTTAATTGAATTGTTTAAAGTTGTAACCTTATAGAAACCGCACCTTTATTGGAATAACACTAATAAAGCACCTTCATCACCCCTTTTAAACTTGGGAAGAGTTTATATAGAGCCCAACTCTAAGCAATCAAATTTGAGCCTACCTCAAAAATTTCACTAGAAGAGGTTGTTTTAATGCTCAAATATCTTCAAATCGATCATCTCAACATCAAGATGCATAGACATGAGGAAAAAAAATGGATTTTAAATTTTAAAAATAATGTATTTTGTAACACGTACTTGGACCGTCAATTTTCAAGATTTTCAAGTTTTCATAGATCTTTCGATCTATACTATTTTTTAAACTTTAAACTTTATAAATAAATATGAAAATATATTTTAAGGCTATTACAAAGATTTTCAATATGAAAACCACATTTCTTGATACTATTTGAGGGTAGGCTCTGATTTGATTGTTCAGAGCCTAGGCTATATACGAACCGCACCCAAAAAACTTTGGATGGGGCTTTGGAAAAAAATGATAAGCCAATGGGGATTTGGGCTCCTACCTTTTGGATGGGGCGCCTATTCGCCAAGGGAAAGGGGCCTAGGTAGTGATTTTCATTCCTATTACTAACATCACCCCATTAATACTTTTCGAAAAGCTAACCCCTTATATATATGAAAAAACGGGTGGGGCTTGTCTTTCCTACTGAATTACCCATAAAATAATAATAATAAAGGCGGTATCTTTTCAAATGTATATTTTGGATATAAAATCTATTGATTTATGTACAGATCCTGAAATAATTCACAAAAATTCCTTTTGATCTGAAATTTCCCCAATTACCAACTTTTTTTTTTGGTGAATTCTAATGGAGCTTGACGTCAGACGTCTGGACCGCCCTATTTTTGGGCCAATTCTATGTTGGAAAACATTGGATCATATGATTGTTGTTAGTAGGGACTGATCGGATGGTGGAATATCACATTGCCCTTAAAATCCAAAATAAAAAAGAAATTCTCTTTTTTTTAGGTAAAAAATAGAGGGGAGTACGATGTCTCCAACATCCGACTACCGATTGTCTCCAAATTGACCAAATAGCCCTGAATTACATATCTTGTATCATATATTATCATTTAGCGTGTCTATTATCTATTTATTGCTATTACCGTATTACATGTTAAGTGAGAAGGCACCCCCTCTATTCTTGCCATAAGCCTATAATTTCCAGTGCCGATTTGATCCTATTGGTTTTCAATTTATCCTAACTTTACCTATTTGCTATCTGTTCCGATCTTTGTCTTTGATGATGTAGTCTCTGTCAGGATTAGGCTAATGAAAAACAAGTAAAGCCTTACCTCAAAACTTCATATGGGAAACACTTCAGGTATGGTAAACCTATGTGATGGCTCTGAAATATGTTTCCACCGTTGATTTTAAAATTTGTAGTTCAAAATATGGTACATGACTCGCACATCGATAAATACTCGAAAATGGATGGTTTAGATAATATGCTACAATATACATCATTTTTAGAACTTGAATTCCTAATTTTGTTTTTCATATTCATAATGGTCAAGATTGACATGATCGATTTGAAGGGTTTTCACCGTCGAAATTGTAATTTTCGGCGAGATTTGAGACAGCCTTGCTTTTTCTCATAAAGCCCAGGCTTTATTTTAATCTTTGCTAATTTTAGTCTTTTAACTATAGGGAAAGGTTTCTATACTTTTCCTACAGCATAGAAAATATATACTGCCCCTCAATCCAGCCGTCCAATTTAAATCACGTGAGCTACTAACTATTTGATCTAGATTTGATGCTTTGAAATTTTTTTTTTTTAGTTTTTTCTACCAATTGTATGAATATGAAAATTGGTACGTGTCATCTTCCCAATGGGGCGCACCTCAAATAAATATTAAAAAGATATTTTCGATATAATATAATGACCAAAATACACCTTATATTTTTCAAGGGTTTTGTCATTTTATTTTATTAGGAATAATTTTTTATATTTTTTACAAGTGCAAGTTTAAGAGTAGAGTGGACGCCCAAAATTTGGTGTCAAAATATTTTGTTCAAAAAATTAAAAATATAATAGTTTAAAGACGTGATGTTGTGATTAAGGCCATCTCAACTACCCTCTCATAATGGATGGTTGGATAGGGAAAAACATATAAGTTTTATGTAGTAGGGGATACATAGAAGGCTTACCCATGTTATAATTATTGTAAATTTAGTAATTATAAAATTGTATATACCTTTATCACTTTTTTTTCCTTATTATTTGGAGTTATTTTTTGGCTAATATTGTAGATATCGTGAAATTCATATTATGGTAGAGGGGATTGTTTATAAATAGACCATTTATCTTTTGTACATGAATGTCGCAATCATTTCCACTCATTAGATATCAAATTTGATGGCTTAAAGTGAGTCACAAAGTCAAAGGATATTTTTTTTTATAACTTTATGTCTATTCAATGACACTCTTACAATGACCTATTTTGAAATTTAATAGACAAAAATGAATGTGACATCCATACACAAAAGATAAATGCCCTATTTGTAGATAGTCCCATGATAAAATTATATCATACAAAAAGAGTATAATTAATTGGGATTGTCTAAAATATACCATTTACTTTTTATATAATGAGGTCACAACTATTCGCACTCATTTGATAGCTTGGGGTGAATCACAAAGTGCGATAATTTATTTTTTTTTAGAACTTTGTGTCTAATCAATTACACTCTTACCACCACACATTTTGAAATCTAAGGGACAATAATGATTGTAACTACCTTGTACAAAGGTAAATGGTCTCTATGTAGACAATCCCTAATTATAATCATATTGCATAAAGAGAGAGTCATAATTGTTATTCTGTCCACCATATTTTTTTATAAATGACTATATCAATGTTTGATTGAGCAATGATTTCATGCAACTGTTGTATAATAATATGATGCAACAACCTTAAAAAACCATCTTATGGCCATTTGCTTGATCCAAATTTTGAAATATATACTGTTTTCATTATAATAATCAATAATCAAATAAAAAAAATTGAAACACAATCTAGAAAATATTTTTTTAGCTCAATTAACATAGGCCATTCATTTTGATGAGAAGCTTAGATCTAGGACTTCGAAGGATTTTTTCATTGCCAATTTTTTTGGATGGTTTTATTAGCACTAGATGGACAATGTTAAAAAAGAAAAAAATTATTTTGAGTTTATAAAGGCTAAGATCTTGAAATTCACAAAATGAATGATCTAGATTTGTTTTTGGAGGGGACTCGTTTTGACCATATTCTGGGTTCAAATTGAACCTTTTTATTGGGGGGGATTGATTATTGAGATGAAGAGAATATGTGTGCAAAATTTGAGGTCATACAAATACCACAAATATAGTTTTTTAGAAGTGTCGTTTCATTATACTGTGATAAAACCGTTGTATTGGATCATTGCTCATATTTGATTATGTATAACATTTTAATGGGACATTCAAAGCTGGTGCATGTTATTAGTCATACATGGGTCAAGATGTGGCTGTTTGGCATTGGAGATCTTAGACCACCCCAAACTTATTTTATTTTTAGATTTTAAATATGGCGTGTTTATCTAGTCCATGCGTATATATATATATATATATATATGGAAAAAGCTTGGGTGAACCCACTGGCTCACATAATAATATAAGCCCAATGGCCCAGATTGAATCTGGGCCGATCTGACAGTTGATAGTGTTTGAATTTTAATTTTTTTTTATAAATCCAAATCACTTGAAATTTTAGATAAATATCATTCTCATTAAGCTGCACCTAATAAAAACATATAAAAAATAATATGTAAAATTAGAAATGACCAAAATACCCCTAAAATTTAGGAAGGTATTTTGGTCATTTGTTTTCATATAAAATATTTTTTTAATATTTTTCAAATATTCACCTATTTTTTACAACATGTCTAAAATTTTAAGTAATTTGGATCTGTAGAAAATAAAATAAAATTCAAACACTTTATATTAAAACTTTGACATATTTTCAAAAGAAATAAAATAGGAAAATGGTTTGATAGGGTTACAGCCCTATTAAAATAAGTAAAGCCTCGCCTTGTAGTTCATTGAAATTTAGAATTCAAGTATCGGAAAACCTTTACATCAATCATCTTGGCTTGAATATTATGGTTGAAAAAAAAATTAGCCCATTTTACCTTTAAAATAAATGTGCATAAATCCGTAGGATATGTATTTTTTTTTAGTTTCAAAATTTATTGCCAGTGTTGAAAATTGATTTTAGATCTATCATGTAGATTTCCATTGTTGAAAGTGATTTCAAGATGACGATTTGAGGTGAGGCTTTATTTTGTTTTCATAAAGCCTAGGGCTTATAGAAACTCCATCCATTAAAAATAAGTGTTGTTTGGCGGGTAGACCACCTAGTAATGCCGTAGGGCTAGACCATGCAGTATATTTCCTAATTTAAAATCCATCTATCCTGCAAAGAAATCAAAGGCAATAGTGGGCATTTAAAGTAAGGAAAATGACTAAAATGCATTTAATTTGTCAACCATTTGACATTTTATTTGTTTTTTACTGTCCCAGCTCATGATAAAATATGTACGATGGGCTTTTTAAAATTAATTTGAAAATTAAGTAAATTGTTTTATAGTTCATCTAGTGTGTGCTTGTTGATAAATTTCCCTTTAAAGTATCCACATAGGAGTGTTGGGTTTTGCTAGAAACCAAAATCATACTTCCAAATTTATGCTCTAGTATGAGCCAAAGTCCCCAAACCCCAAGTGGGGGAATTTAATGTTGTAGTCAAAATTTTCACATCACTTAAAAGGTAGACATTCATTTTATTGAATCAGTGGAAAGGAAACTATATATAAACGTGTCTATGGTCTTTCCCTCATGGATAAAGTATTTCCTCAATAGCCCTTCTCTTTTGAATCCAGCTTTCCCCAAAACCCTTTGAGACCCACATTCTCAACAGCTACAAGAGCTTCTATCCTCTCCAACTCTGGCTTCTCCTTGAACACAGTAGAGACCACCATTTTCACTGCATGTGTTGCTATGCCCTTGGCCCCAATACTTAGAAGCCAACACATAGCCAATTTCTCCTCTACAAAGGCCGGGACATGACCCTTGGATCAAGCATATGGAGCCTATGGGTCAATCATTTAGGCAAATGGCATTTTCCCATGGGTGGGGAAGGGTGCGATCTCTCAAGCGGGCTAGCCCATCTTCTCAACCACAAACCTAGCAACAAGATCATCACTAGCCAAAGCCATGAAATCATCAATGTATGAGAGTTGGAAGGGCCGCAGGCTTATTTTGGACATTTGGTCCTCCGTTTTTTGACTTGGGTTTTTTTGGCTTAGTATGGAGAGAGAATGAGAGGTAGGTTCGTGTGGTTTTGATTTGTGAGGGGGAGTTTTTAAAGCAATGAGGATGTCGCTTCATGGCTCCAAGTTTTTGTGAAGTTCAACTTATCAAGTCAAAATTGGCTCAATAGCCTAGCCTGTGTGGTCGCACCTTATTGGATGCGGCAGTTGGGGAGGACTATAACTCAATTTGCTTAGATCACGGATCCAATATAGAGAAGTGGTCGGTAGAAGTGGATAAGCATGCACTATAGACTATGGAGAAGTGGTCTGTAGAATTGAGTCATAGTGCTCCTGCGTCCTATATGTTCAAATTGTAACATACATATACCATCTTTTGAAGCATTATAGAAGTCAGCATGTTCACCATTTGAGCATGTATTTGTCAATTTTTCTCATACTCCTTAACGAGTAAGTTTGATTTGACCACCTCATTGACTATACTCTACACGTCGAGTTAACCCAATGCCATATTCCACGAGTTAGCTGCAAAATTGATAAATAACTTATGGAAAAAGGTCTCAAGTGATATTGTCCACACAAAATGACTTGAGAGCGATATGTTAAGATAACGAAATGCACTCGGGTCATGTCTAGTTTCTTGTGATGCAAGTTTCACCTCTTGACCAACTCTCTTCCCCATTAAATCGACTTTTAATAATTAGAGATGAAAATCTGCTTTTCTTTAAGGGAATGAAGATTCTATGCAGCCTCTGTTTCATGAAAACAAATTAAAGCAAGACCACATATACTCATCAGGCAAATTGATGAAAATGAAGATTCTATGCAGCCTCTGTTTTATGAAAACAAATTAAAGCAAGACCACATATACTCATCATGCAAATTGATGAAAATTGCAGACATGTCTAATCAATTGACTGTAACTTTTCAGCATGTGTATAGAGAGGCAAATACAATGGCTAATGATCTTGCAAACAGAGGAGTAGAGATGGAGGAGAGGCGAACCTATTTATTTGATTCTCTTTCTTCTAATTTTTTTTTTTTAATTTCCATGTTATATATGTACATTTCGTTTCCATTAATAAAGTACTTGTACTCTTGTCAAAAAAATAAAAAACACTTTCAACAATGAAAATCTGCTTGATGGTTTTAAAATCAATTTTCAACATTGATAATAACATTTGAAAGTAAAAAATGTACAAATCTTGGGGATATATGAATACTTATTTTGAGGGCAAAATGGATGATCTAGATAATTTGTTGTAATGTATGCTATTTTTAGAACTTGAATCCTGATTTTTTTTCACAACTATAATGTTCAAGCCGAGATGATCGACATAAATTTAACAAATTTTCGATGAGTTATGAAGTGCGACTTTTACTTATTTTGACCGGGCTGCCGCAGCCCTATCAAACCATTTTGGTTCTTCTATTTTATCAAATAAGGTGAGACCACGTAGGCTATTGAGCCAGTTTTGACCTCAAAGTTGAACTTCACAAAAACTTGGAGCTCACGGCTTGTAGTTTCAAAGCACATTCCATGAAACCAACATCCTCATTGCTATAAAAACTCACTCCCCCGCACAAATCAAAACAACAGGAGCCTCTCATTCTCTCTTTCAGCCTCTTATTTTCTCTCCATACTAGCCAAAAAAACCCAAGTCAAAAAATGGAGGACCAAATGTCCAAAATAAGCTTGCGGCCCTTCCAACTCTCAGACATTGATGATTTCATGGTTTGGCATTGTGATGATAATGTTGCTAGGTTTTGTGGTTGGGATACATGCACATCTAAAGAAGATGGGCTAGCCCGCTTGAGAGATCGCACCATTCCCCACCAACGGGAAAAGGCTATTTGCCTAAATGATCGACCCATAGGCTCCATAGGCTTGATCCAAGGGTCAGGTGCTGGCCTTTGTAGAGCAGAAGTTGGTTATGTGTTGGCTTCTAAGTATTGGGGCCAAGGCATAGCAACACATGCAGTGAAGATGGTGGTCTCTACTGTGTTCAAGGAGAAGCCAGGGTTGGAGAGGATAGAAGCTACTGTAGATGTTGAGAATGTGGGGTCTCAAAGGGTTTTGGAGAAAGTTGGATTCAAAAGAGAAGGGCTCTTGAGGAAATACTTGATCCACAAGGGAAGGACCATAGACATGTTTATATATAGCTTCCTTTCCACTGATTCGATAAAATGATTGTCTACTTTTTAAGTGATGTGAAAATTTGATTACAAGATGGAAGCTATGCTACAAGGGATTCACCTTATTCGTCAGAGATTTACTTCCATCTTGAAGGTGATTCCCTTAATATCATAAATTGGTGTAATAAAGAGTATAAATCACCATAGAGCTCGAGAAGTAAATGGATGGAGGTTTATAGACAATAGTGATAAGTTAGAAGTTTCATTCACGCATGCATATAGAGAGGCTAATGAGATTGCAGATAGCTTGGCCAAGAGAGAGTGCATATCAAAAGAGCGGCGAGGTGGTGATATATGAAGTTTTATTTATGTGAGGAGAGTCTATCTATGTAACTTTTCTTATTATTAATGAAATAACAGTATTATTGTAAAAAATAAAAAAATTCCATTACAAATTTGAATTCCCCCAATTAGGGCTGGGGCTCTTTGGCACAATTGTCACTAGAGCATAAATTTGGAAGTATGATTTCGGTTTGAGTTCTAGCAAAACCCATATGATTTTGGTTTGAGTTCTAGCAAAACCCAGCACTCTGATGTGGATACCTTAAAGGCCAATTTATCAACAAACACACAGGAGTTTGGAATAGTTGAAAATAGATAAAATGTCAAATTGTTTGATAAATTAGGTGCATTTTAATCATTTTCATTACTTTAAATGCTCACACTTGCCTTTGATTTCTTTGCAGAATAGATGGAATTTGAAATAGGAAAAATATTGCATGGTCTAACCCTACGGCCTAACGAGGTGGTCTACCCGCCCAAAAACAATACTTATTTTATTTCCTTTGAAAATATGCCAAAATTTTATTAAGATACCTAATTTTTCAACCATTTAACATTCTACTACTTTATACTATTCCAATCCAAAATGGTGCTTGTTTTGATGGGCATTTTGAAATTAAATCAAAATCCTCATGTAAAATTTTAAATAGTTAACATCAATGCGTAATTTAATAGGAATCGAGTTTTGAACAAGGATTTTAGAGCTATCGTAAAGTTCTTGATACTAGACTACATATTCTAACAAGATTTAAAGGTGCGTCTTATTTGTATAATACATGGTGGGCACTTTATACAAACCTCACCCAAGATGATGTGATTTGTATAAGAAGTAAACCTGAAGGGGAATGATTTCATGCAATGGTTGTATAGTATTATAATGCAATCATCTTCAAAAATCATGTTAGAGATATTTGTTTGACACAAATTTTTAAATGTACACTCTTTACATTTTAAAGAACAATCACAAATTTTTTTTTTTTTGAAAAAATGCTTTAGAAAGTTTCCATTCTAACCCAATTAATATAAGCCGTCAATTTTATTACGATGGTTAGATATAGGTCTCATAAGCATTTTTTTTATTCCCAAAGTTTTTATGTAGCGTTATCATCATTAGATTCATAATGCTCAAAAAAAAAAAAAAATGATTTTGAATTTGTTAAGGCTTAGATTTTGAAATTCACCAAATGGATGGTCGAGATTCATTGTTGGATAGGTACTAATTTTGACCATATATAGAGCTTAAATTAATTTTTTATTTCGTAGGATTGATTATGAGGATGAAGAGAATGTGTATGTAAAATTTGAGGTCATACAAATGCCAAAAATATGGTTTTCTAGAGGTGTGGTTGCATTATACTACCATACAACCGTTGCATCGGATCATTTCTCAAACCTAAAACAGTCAAAGTAAGACGCATCTCTAAATCTTGCCAAAAGATGCAATTTGAATGCTGGATATACTTATGAGGGAAAAGTTTATATAAGGTTGCAACCTTAAAATGTAGAACTACGGATGCACCTAAAAAATCCATCGAAAAATGTTGTTTTAATATTGAAAAACCCTCAGATTGATCATCGAGATGTATGACTATGAAAAAAAAAAAGGATTTTGAGTCCCAAAAATAGTGCATCTTACAACACATCATCTAGACTGTCCATTTTAAAGATTTTTATATATTTATAGATCTAATTGATTTTAATCATTTTTGAAGTTAAAAATGTTATAATTAGGTATGAAAATAGATTTGAGATAATCTTAAAAATATTTTAATCAAAATTATAGGTTGTGATCAAATTAGAAAGTGCACCTTAAATTGGATTGTTTAAAGTTGCAACTTTATGGAAACCACACCCTAATTATAATGATGCGAGGATCTATTTTAACATCTTAATAGAGATGTCAAAGCTTTAAATATAGTGTAGAGATTAAGTAGACCTATAAATACTGAAAAGGTTTGAAATGGACGGTCAGGACAATGTTAAAGATGCATTATTTTTATTTGTGATTTCTATAGAAATTCATCTCGATGTCCATTAGTTATAGGGTTTTTCAATGTGAAAATCAATTTTTTTGGTCGGTTGGATTTTTTAGGTGTACCTTTTTCTTTAATGTAAGGTTTGACACGTTATACAAACTTTTCCTAATATTTTTGTATAAGGTGTCAGAGGCGGCAAAGGAAATCAGAGGCGCTTCGAATTTCTTACTTTCCCTCCCTCTGTAAAAAGTTATTAAAGTTTGAAAACACCATCGGCTGACGGGACATCTGTCACAACACACGAGACGCGGGAAAGTCTCTCTACTTCTCGATCTCCATATTATTCGTGTCTTTCTTTCTCTTACCCCTCTCCAAACAGCTTTCCTCTTCTGAAACCCTAACCCCTATTTGCCTTGGCCATGGAGGACTACAGAACCTGCTCGAACTGCGAGCTTCACTGTCACAAAGTAGATCCTTTTCAAGTTTTCAAAACCAGGCCTCGGTTTCTCAAGGAAATGGCAGGTGACTTCTCAAAAGAGCTCGTGAGAATCTCTCCTTTCATATTACTCCCCATTTGTGTTTTATTTTGAAATATGGCGACTTTACAAATGAATTATCTCTGTTTATTTGAGAGTAATCAGAGTTAATCATGTCCATTTCACTTTTCAATTAGGACTGACATTTTGATTATTATTATTATTATTATTATTTGTTTCCTAGCCCAATTTTCAATTAATACTCTTTTTTTTCCCACTGGTTTTACTGCTATTGTATTGTGGCATCTTTACCTTGTTTTGTACTCATTTTTTTGGGCCATAGTTGGATCCATGCTATGTCTGCTTAACTGTTTTTTTCACTTTTGCTACATTGCGGCTACACATGGTTTTCTGTAGTCTGTTGAATCATAGCATAGTTCTTCTGTATGCGATTGTTGTGTGAATGCGCTGAGATCCCATATTCTGATGCTATAATCTGCTTCTCAGCTTTACATGCATATGATTTTTTTTTCTTTCCTCGCCACGTTAGTGGGGTTTGGGCTGGGACCCTACTGTTTGTATCGACTTTTATGAAATTACACAACAGGTGTGGAGCCGGACCTTATGTGATATATTATTTACAGTGGGCGTTACTGCAAGTCTCTCTCTGTCATTTGCTCTATTTTGTTTAGGGTCAAGGTTAACTGGCACATTGTATTTCTCATTTTTTCGTTTATGACTTTTATTTTTTCCATTCCTTGGAGGAATCATCTTTGTTTCTTGGATGGGGGTAGCTATTTCTGATTTTTCATATCATTTCCTCTATGATTTATTGAATGGTTTGGTGATGATATTCTTCTGCCCACTTTTTTTTTTTCCATATGACCTAATTTAGACATGCATATTTCCCTTGCATATTTTTTTTTGTTCTTATTATCTATTTAAAGCCTCTAATTCATTGGATTGTATATTTTATCACATTTTTGCAACCTGTAGACAATAATTATTCTGTACTTGTAGGCATTGCCACAGGAATTATACAAGCATATTAATGGGGTGGCATCTGAAAGGGCCATATTGGAGAGTCCCAGTGGGAAGTTATGGTTAGTTGAGTTAAAGAAGACTGAAGAAGGTGCTTTCTTTCAAAATGGTTGGAAGGAGTTCATTAAAGGTCATTCTGTGAAATTGGGGGAAAGCATAGTTTTTAGGTATGACGGGAATTTGCGTTTTGATGTTCAAATATTTGGTAGTAATGGGTATCAAAGAGAAGACATGTTCATTGCTAATACCTGTAAAAAGTCCACCTCAAATGAAGGAGAAGGGGAGCTCAATGAGGCAATTGATGCTGCTTCCATCAAATCTTGTAAATCCTATGCCAAAAGAAAGTTAAAGTTCCTCTTAATGAATAATTTCACTCCACCTGTAGCAAAAGAGCAAGATATGGGAGTAGATAACCATGAACAGTGTGTCGATGTTTCTCAAACTAGAGATTGCAAAGATCATGAAAAAAGAAAGTTGTCAAGCTACCAATCTAAATTATGTAAAAAACATGTCCGGCCAAGAAAACTCACAGAAACAGGGGATTCAATGGAGTCAACTCCAATGACACCTACTGAGGATCATCTCGTTGTTCAAAATGAGATCATTGCTTGTCCTCAAGAGGAAACAGTCGGAAAACCAGGTATTTCCTTCTACCTTTATTTCTAGGCACCAATACCATAAAGACTTCATCTCTATAAGAGTTCTGCTTCTCATTTATCAATTTCCATTAGATGATGCAGATGAAAGTGTTTTGCATAGAGAATCTGGCGACCCAAAGAATCTCACAGAAAATGGTGATTCAACGGAGTCAACTCCTTTGACACTTTATGAAGATCTTGTTCAAAATCAAATCCTTGTTTCCCCTCAAGAGGAAAATGTTACAAGAACAAGTATTCACCTTTATGATTCTTAAATTAATTAATATATCATCTCTACAGGGGTATTCACCTCTTTCTCGTTCATCATTTTTTATTGGAAAATTTTACAGATGAAAGAGTGTTGTCCTCGCGAACAGATGGTTATACTAAAGAGAAAAAAGAAAGTATTGATGTGGTTCGTACTCATATACCCAAGCAAACTTCATCGCCTAAGTTCTTGAGGAAGTTTCAATCTGGGAGACGAGTGGTCACATTGGACGAAAAGGCTAGGGCCCTTGAAGCAGCCAATTCATTCAAGACAAATAATCCACGTTGTGTAATTGCTATGAAACCCTCAAATGTATATCATTGTTTTTATTTGGTAAGTATTGTCTATCTGACTTTTTGTGATATTCAAACAATCTAGTTGCATTATTTTGAATATGATGCAGATTATTCTCCATTGATTATATGATTAGCTATGAAACTTCAATATTTTCATCATCTAAATGTGGTAAACAACGGTGATGGATGTATGTTATATCTTGGCCTTCATGTTTCTATGTGGTCGTAAGTACTATAAAATTATAAGGTATTTGCTTTCATAAAGTTCTTAGAGTAGCACTTGGGAATTGATGTTGTGCTCGGGGAAAACTATCACTATAGTTGGTGGAGTTTTTCCCTTTTATTGAATCTCATTGTTGGGAGTTTATTGGTCATATCCTTGTGATTGATTTGATTGCACACACATATATTCGCTTTCGTATGGTTGTATTCTATTGTATTTGCAAACCCATATTGGATGTTGTAAGTTATTTTTGGAAGGAAAAGACAAGCAAAAGGTTTAAAACCCCACTCTTTAGAATTGTTACTCCTTATTTGTTCTACAAGGATGTGAGTTGGGCATTTCAAAACTAATATATAGCTATGTTTTTTTCTGACTGCCTTATTATTATTATTATTATTATTATTATTATTATTATTATTAGTAATTTCCCTTTAACAAATGCCAACTTCTTCTTCTAATATGATTGATCTTGTTTGGAAGTGAATGCATCTCACTGTGACCCAAGCATAAAATTGCTGGTTTATGTTAAAAACAAGGTGGAATTTTTTGTTTTTGAATTAGAGACTTGCTATTGAACTATGTGTCCACTTATGAAAGATAGTGTATTGAATGTTAAATGAATATGACATGTTGCTAGCTTGTTGTTAGTGACAGTAACAGAATATATTCTATGAACACTTAAAGTACGGGCCAGTGCTTTTGCATGTATTATAAATGTTATATTTAACTTATTTTATATATTTTATATTTTATACTTTCTATAAATTACTTGCTAGTTGGAATTAAATTGCCTTGGTCTGCCTAGATGTCTTGAGCATGGGCTACATTGATATTATTCTAAGGGGAAGGGTGACTTTCGTTACCATTGTTATCTATTCACTTTATTTGGAGACTATCTTGTGCATTTCTTCCAAATGTTATTGGTATGTTGTAGCCTAAGAACTAAAAGAAATCCGTGTCGTCGTTGGTTGATATGCACATTTTTTTCCCTTTCTCCTTTTGACATTTGAATACGGAGCATTTTATTTGGGGACTATCATTTCTGCCTTTCTCCTTTTGACATTTGAATACAACACACTTTTTTTTTTTTAAAATATTTCTTTATCTATGTATATTTAAAGTATTCATAGTTTAGGGAGGCATGATTACAGTCTAAAGGTCAAGGTAAAGTCAAAGGTCAGTGGTCGAGAGCATTATTATTTTCTTGGAGCGTTATTATCTTCTATTATGTTAGGACAGTGTTCAATGACAAGGACCTGGGTCAGAACTTGCTAGGTTCTTGAGCCCGAGCTTGACATTCATTTATTTTTCTTCTTTTTTTCCTTTTTAGGATGTTTAAGCACAATGTTTTAAAACCCAGATCATGCGGGTGGATTAGCCCTCCCCCAGACTGATCCAGATTGGTGATTTGAATTTGCCATATCGGCAAAAAATTGATAAAATAGTAATAGTAAAATGATAGTATCAGCTATTCTTTACCCACCCCCTACCCCTCTTGGGATTGCGTGCCTAGCAATTCTGATCTGGATGGCTATTCCTGATTTAGACCACCAGGTTTTTAGTCACTTAAATTAAGCATGCCATAGTCTGATGTTTAAATTTTACAAGGGATTTCAAAATTTCCTTTTCTCAAAACATGTAGCTAATTGTAAGCTTTCAGTTATCTTCAATAATCCCAAAGTGTGAAAAATCCATTAGAAGATCTGTCCATGTAGTGCAAAATGATTTATCTTTCTTTTTGTATTGTATCAGAATTGTGTTCATGAAGTCTATTTGTTAGTGCCATTAGGTTGCTGACCTTTCGGTGGCTTATAATTTTAGGAGAAGAACACCATACACTTCATATCGTCATGTATAATAATACACTACAGTCACCATCACATGTTCTCGAGATGGACAGTGAATGTGAACCATAAAATTGTGGTGAATTTGTTGTGTTAAACATGGTTCATCTCCATCGTCCGTCTTAGAATGAAGAGTGGATTCTGTGCCTTCTATCTTGTACATATGTATAACATATATTTTCCATTGTCTTCATGGCTATTAAATAGAAGTGCAGTAATTGATATTGTATTCATGCAGCATATTCCACGCAGCTTTGCAAAGATGCATCTCCCGAAGGTTCGATTAGCCATGCATCTTCGTGATCCAACTGGGAGGGAATGGGAGGTGATATGCATTTGCAGGGAAGGTAATGCGACAGCATTGAGTGGTGGGTGGGCAGCTTTCTCTATTGGAAACAATTTGGAGGAAGGAGATGTTTGCATCTTTGAGCTCAAAGAAGAAAAGCTAATGGCGGTGCACATTTTCAGAGTGGTGGAAGAGATTGTACCATTGATAAGGTGCTTAGAGCCAATATCAGCAGGTAATTGAAATTGAGACAAGCCTGAAACTGTTAATGGTTTTGAAGGCTAAAGGCAATTGGAGAGTTTTTGTCTCTTTTGACAACTTGAATGGAGTAACAATTCCATTTTTGTTTTTTGTATGTGGATATAACTGGGGACTCCACAATGAGTTGACCTCCACTAAAATGGCCTTTTGATTGGGTTTTATAGCGAGCTTTCACTCCGACTTCCACACAATAATGGAGTGTGTGATTTCTACTTGGTATAATTGTGATTGTGTTTTAAATGCAAATTGCTCTGCATCTCAACTAACCATTGTTTAAGAAAACGCTGAACTAGATTGGAAATTGTCGATCAAGATTGAGAATTGGCAATTTGGATTGGAAATCGCCCAATGGCAATTTGATTCTTGGTTGGATCAGCATTTTTAAGAGTATATGTATTGTAAGGAAAAAGTTTATACAAGGGCGAGGCACTAAACAATCAAAAGTGCACCTCAAAATTCACTAAAAGAAGTTGTTTTGATGTCCAAATCGTTAAATTGATCATCTTGACCTCAAGATGTAAAGACATTAGAAAAAATGGATTTTAAGTCTTGAAAATAGTAAATCTTGTAGTTTATTTTTGGACTGTCAATGTTCAAGTTTTTCAAGTGTTTATAGATTTGTTCGATCTACATTATTTTTGAAATTTTAAATTTTGTAATTACGGATAAAAATAAATTTTCAAGCCATCTTAATGATTTATAGTATTAAAACAATATCTTTCAATACTATTTGAAGATGCGTTTTACTTTGATTGTTTATAGGGCCTTGGTCCTATGCAAACCACACCAGAATATTAGTATGTCCAACTTTTATTAAAAGATGTAAACATTGGTCTTTGGTGTGTTTAAATGCTGAGCATGGGGTTTTTTTACGGTTGAAGCACTTGTTAAACAAAGAAACTAATCGCATGAGAAGCAAACAAAGAAACTTATGATTATTTTTCAAGTTAAAAATGTTAGGATTTAAGAACCTCTTAGATACGGAAACAAGAATTCCAAAAGTTGGATCCCATCAAGATTGTGTGCTTATTAAGTTAGAAACAAAGTCTGAGAGAGTACGAGTTATAATACAATAAATAAAGCATGAAACGCACATCACAATAACACAAAAATTTACGTGGTTCACTCTAAGGGGTCTATATACACGGGCATAGAAAATTCGAAATCTACTATATCAATAAAAATTATATCATAGATTTTGGAAATTATATCATAGATTTTGGAATATAGAGTTGCATTTCTAACTTTCGACATTGAGCAAACCATTTTATATCTGCTCTCCTGATCGGTACCATCGTCGATCTCTCATCTCTATTCTACATACCATTGTCCAGAAGGAGAACTTTAAGAGCAATCGGTATCATTGTCGATCTCCCATCTCTATTCTACAAATCACTATCCTGGAGGAGAACTTTAAGAGCAATTGCAGACTTTTTCTCACAAAAAGGGAAACCATTCAAAATCTTCATGAAAAACGTTTCTCCACAAAATCTTTATGGCAACTTTCCCTCAGGGGAAACCACTTCCCACCCAAAATCTTCATGGGATCCGTTTTTTTACAAAATTTTCATGGAAACCATTTACTTACAACTCTCAATCTACAAGAGACATAACATGGAGTTTCTCTCCATAGGAAAGCTCTTTTCTTTCTGAAAAGGAGACCTTGTCTCTCATGCACTGAAGGCTCTTGCCTCTCTCCAGAAGAAGTCACATTTCTTGTATGGTGACTCAAATAAGACATACCAATTATCTCTTTCATCCCATATATATAAGATTAGGAGTCCATGCTAAATAGGAAACTTTCGATAGATGTTACATATATCTGAATAACTAGGAGATATATCTAGAGTCTTAATCTTTTTGAATTTTTATTTCTTTTAGGAAACTTATCAATATCAATCACAATCCCACATAATATGAGATTTCTTCATGTGGGTGATTTTGGATATCACCATGTTCAATAAATCACCGTTCGAATCCTATGAGAAACACTTTGTAAACAAGGAAAATGGTTTGATAGGGCTACAACCCTATTAAAATAAGTAAAGCCTCACTCCATAACCCATCAAATATTACAATTCAAGCTCTCGAAATGTTTACGTCTATCATCTTAGCTTTAACATATGGTTGTGAAAAAAACTTAAGGATTTTAAGCTTTAAAAATAGTGTATATTGTAACAAATATAGAGACCGTTTATTTCGCCCTAAAAATAAGTGTTCACAAATCCACAAGATTTGTACTAATTTTTAATTTTTAAAATTTTTAATTGATGTTGAAAATTGATTTTAGAGCTATCATGGAGCCAAAAGTGCTTTCCGGACAAGGATTTAAGATGGCAAAAGTGTTTTTTGGACGAGGATTTTAATGTAAAGCTTTATTTTGTTTTCATAAAGCCTAGGCTTTATAGAAACTTAAAAAAAAAACGTAGAATAATTTTTTTTTAGTTAAACCTTTGAAAAAGGGAAGATCGAGAACTTAGCCCATGGTGCAACAACTACGCCATTTCACCTTTTACTATGATAAAAGGTGTGAAATATGATATATATGCTATTTTTGTCCTTTAATTTATTTTTATTTTTGCCAATCTGGATAGGTGATTATGTTGGTCCCAAGTCGAGAATGGTGGTGGACAATCTGTTCCATTGATCCAATTTTTAAAACACTGGAACTAGCTATGCAAGCAAAGCTAGTGATTTTGCTTGTTGTATCCTATGCGTTAAATTGGAAACCAAAAAAAGACAACGACAATTACCGAATATCAAAATAGCCTGCTGAGCTCGTGGCTTACAAGGCTTTATTTGCTTTTCTTATTTTTTTATTTTTATTTTTTATTTTTTTAACTAAGAATATTAAAATTTTATTGCTCAGGTGACAAGTACATCAGACACAAAGAAATAAAATATTTGATACTCAAAGGGATTGAAGCTCAGCAACCGTCTATGTTAGTCTATCAGCAATTTCATTAGCCTCCCTGTAAACATATCTAAAAGAAACACGCCATTGATTATCAAGCTCCATCACACTCATCCATTGTGTCCTAAAGTGCCATGGAGGTCTAGTAGCTATGTTAATCCAGTTAATAGCATTTAGGGAAGTCTCCGTCTCTTGTACATGGTTGCTCCACTCTCTTTTGCGTTAGTATTTTTAGACCTTGCAATAACGGCAACAGTCCATTTCAGTTGTATCTCCACAAGGTGTTGTATTACAAAGGATAATCTCCCCATCTGAATTCTTAACTACACCAAAGTCTCCTGATCCTGGATTGCCCAGCTTGAGCCATCCCACCAATGGCGGTTCCCATCTTTCGTTAGTTCTCATGCTTACCATTTTCTGCAGCAGGAGGTTCGGAAGTTTAACTTCCATATCCATCTTTGATGCACCCCGGTCCTCCAATATAGAGTTAAGCACTAATTTTAAGAAAAATACTTTTCAAGTCCATTTATGGGTCACGTCTGAATGTTGTTGATTGTAATCTCGTGCCCAAACTAGTTCCTTTCATATGTGATGAACCATATCAGAATCACTCGATGGGTGGACAGTTAAGGTTTCCACGTCTTGATTATCTATTGATTCTATTATTCTATTAATTTTTGTCTAAATTTTGATTGATTTGCTCGATTTTTTGATTCCAATCTACCTTATCCAAATTGGAATCGGTTGGTGGTGATTTGCTCTACCCTACCGATCTTTATTTAAAACACTGGCTGAGAATAAATGGTGCTGTTGTACACTTTGCTTGCCAAAGCATATGATGTACCGCCTTTTAATATGTTGGGGTTAAAAGGGATTATATATTTATTTTTGGCATAAAGAGGTCACAATTATTATTAATCTTTAGATATGAAATCTAATCGATTAAAGCTTGTCACAATATTCGAGAAATTTTATGTTGGATTTTGTTTTTTACTGGATTTCACAAATAATGATCAATATTGATATTGACCTCTTTCTATCAAAAGTAAATAGTCTCATCTCATTATATGGGTTAAAATTATGCTTCATATTTAGTTAGGAAAAGGTATATATGCCGATGGTGATGGTGATGGTGACATTTATTCCATGGGCAAAACATTTAACTTAGGAGATATTCCTTAATTTGAAGTTTTAGTTATAATTAGATGATTATTTAAAAAAAAAATTAGATTTAAGTTCATAAAAATCTAGATCATTCTCTAAAAAAAAGTGGACAATTCTAGTGCATCTTGGGATGACATTTTTTATGCACATAGAGAGTGAGAGTTAAATTTTTTTTTTTTTCTTTGAGATTGTTCATTGGATTTTAGAGATCACATCCCAAAAGTTGAGACAAAAAAATAAATTTTGGCCGAGGGTGTAAATGAATAGTATACTCCGATGTAGAAATCTGTTGGTTGTGATACTCGTCAAATTTGATATCACCTTGGATGACATAATTCCAAGGACAAATATGTGAGACATGAACTCACCTTCTCCCTTGCTTCGTGACAGTTTTTTATGTTAGACTTGCTTCCCTTCGCTTTTAATCTGAGCCGTCGGATAAAAAATGGGACCAGGAGGCTGGCTTGCCGCCCAAGCAAGGTGTTTGCGATATTGTAAGGTATCACATTACTTGAAGAAAAAAGTTTATCTTGAGCCAAGGCTTTAAACAATCAAATTGGAGCCCACCTAACAAAATTCACTAGAAAAGGTTGTTTTGATGCCTAAATATCCTCAAATGGATCATCTTGATATCAAGATGTATGGACATGAGAAAAAAATGGATTTCAAGTTTTGAAAATAGTGCATTTTATAATATATTTTTGTACCGTCAATTTTCAAGATTTTCCACTTTTCATAGATATGCTGATCTATATTATTTTTGAAGCTTTAAATATTATAATTAAAGATGTTGAGGCTATCATAAAAATTTCCCATATCGAAACTACATTTCTCGACACTATTTGCACATGCACTTTACTTTGATTGTTTAGAACCTCGGCCGTATATAAATTGCACCCAAAGTTAAATGTCCCTTGAACAATAAAAATATTCAGAACTACCCCTGAGAATGATCAATAATTTTATTGAAGATATTCAATATTTTATTAGTGGTAGTTAGGGAATTGAAGATTATAGAATGTCTTAAGTTTTGAAACTTTTTTTTTATTAATCATTTATTAAGGAAGAAATGGATTTGTAGTAATTTGAAAAATGTTTCAAGCCTAAAACTCTTGAAAACTAAACCGTATGTAAATGACCAAGATTTCAGGCCATCGGCTTGGCGGATAGTCCCTGGATAAGGTTCAAAACTTGTTTACATACTCTGATAAACTAATTTTAGTTTATAAAAAAAAAAAAAGTTTAAATAAGGTTGCAACTTTAAAATATAGAACTAAAGATGCACCTCAAAAATCCAACATAAAAGTTGCTTAGATGTTGGAAAACAATCTAATTGATCATTTCGATATCGAGATGTATGAATATGATAATAAAAAAAGATTTCGAGTCCGTGAAATAGTGTATCTTGCAACATATTATCTGGACCGTCCATTTTCAAGATTTTCATGTGTTTATAGATCTAATTGATTTGAGCTATTTTTAGAGCTTAAAATTATATAATTAGGGATGAAAATAGATTCTCAAGCCATCCTATGAATTTTTTATAGCTGTTCCTGTTAAAGAAAGGATATTTTGTCTATTTTCCTTACTTTAATGCGTTCCGTGTAATTCTTGTAGGATCACATGTGTTGCTTCTTTTATATATATATATATATATATATATATATATATATACTTATTACATTATTAAGTCAGAATTAAAAGGTAGACATACGTCGCAAAAATAAAAGGTGACCCCACACTTATAAAGAGGTTAAAGCAGGTGCCTTATAAGTAGACATAATATCTTAGAAAAGGAAGAATTCATGATTTATTTTTATCGTTTAGGCTAACTTTTTTTGGTTAATTAGGTGATAACAAAATATGAAGTTATCAACTAAGAATTATGCTTATAGCTTGGATGGTAAGATGCCTCCATATTTTTTGCAATATTTGTTTATTTAACTTAAAATACTTATTAAATTTAATTTAATATTTCTCATGTATGAAATTGTACTAAAATATAAATTTTCTTCATGGTCTCTTGATGAATAACCATGCAATCCTTTTTCTTTTTTATTTTTAAAATATTCTATTTTTTTTCACTTTGATGTACATTGCAATGGCCAAAGAGTTTGCTAGATTTATGATCTTCAATATTTCATTTCGCGTATTTTTATCTTGAGTTCCATGCTATTTTTTCTTTTTTTTTTTCTATTTTTCATTTCCAGATATTTTACTAAATCTTCATTTGATATTTCAATGAATATTTTTTATTATTTAGAGATGGATGAATGCATGAATTTCTTTTTGTAGATTTCTATTTTATGTAAATATCTTATATGTATTGCAGACAGTAAATTTTATTTATTTTTAATATTAAATATTTGTTTTCTTATTTCATATTCTCTATTTTTGCTACGTGGGTTAATGTCTTATTTTATTGGATAATTGGTGTTCGATTATATTGAAGTATTAAACTATTTTATTTCTAATGCTGTCACAGCCCACTAATTTACATGCTCACTTAAGAAATAATTTTATAATTTTTTTATGCCCTTATGGGATGTAGATTACCCTAATATTTTACAAATATTACAAGATTCATTTTTGGATCCGTTTATTTTTATTTTTTTATCTTTCATGTTGTATGTTTATGAACTAACAGTAACTGTTATTAAATTGATAGATCAAAATATTTGTCCTATAGTAAGTGTAGCCTTTTGTTAATGTTGCTAGAGAAAGTTCAGTTCAGTGTACCAAAGCATCCTGCCCAAATGCACAACAAAATGACCCTGGAGGACCCAATGTCCAAAGTGACCCTGCATCCATTCCAACTCTCAGACATTGATGATTTCATGGTTTGGGCCACAGATGATAGAGTCACTAGGTTTTGCTTATTTGATTCTTATACATGCAGAGAAGCTGGACTATCTTTTATTAGAGATAAAGCCATCCCCTGCCCATGGTTCAAAGCCATATGCCTAAATGATTGACCCATTGGCTCAATCTCAATCACCCGATGGTCAGGTGAGGTTCTTTTTAGAGGTGAGGTTGGCTACGTATTGGCCTCACAATATCACTAGTGTGTTTAGTGCTATCCCTGAGCTAGAGAGGGTTGAGGCCTTGGTTGATGTTGAGTCTCAAAGGGTCTTGGAGAAGGTTGGGTTTGATAGATATGGGGTCTTGAGGAAATACTTGATTCTAAAAGGGAAGACCAGGGATATGTTCATTTATAGC